ATTTTGAAAATTGCGAGGCTTATATCTATTGTTTGGTCAACTTTAGGACAAAGGTTCATTATATTAATTTTTATAACTCTTAGGGGGGGCCATAGGAAAACTCATCAGAACTCCTGAAATCCAATAACAAATTTCGACCAAAATTTTTATCTTACTCTTACCAAGTCCAAGAGGTGAAAATTTATCTCGGAAAAAAATTATTCTGATTGGTGTTCTAATAGCTCCTTGACGAGTAAAACCGATAATTACTGGTGTGTTTTAGTCTAGGATTGATCCAAAACTTTTTCGTTTCGCATCCTAGACTAAAACACACCAGTAATTATCGGTTGTACTCGTCAAGGAGCTATTAGAACACCAATCAGAATAATTTTTTTCCGAGATAAATTTTCACCCCATTAAATTAAGATTAAAACACACCAGTAATTATCGGTTGGATTTGGTTTTGGATTTCTGGAGTTCTGATGAGTTTTCCTATGGCCTCCCTAAGAGTTATAATAGTTATCACGATGAACTTTAGTTCTAAAATTAATAATTAAAGAGTTATAAGTCTCGTAAGTTCCACAAAACGGGATTTCATTTTTTCTTAACTTTGCGTGGTATTTTCGGTTGTTTAAACAATATAATTTTTTTTTTTAATACCAGAGAACTCTGTTACTATTTGTGGGGCTAGTAAAACCCACAAAATAATTTAGAAATTTTCATTTTGGGGGGGCCGCTTTTTAGGGGGAGCTATATTAAAAATTTTTTTTAGAGTTCTGATAGCCCCCCATGGAATTGTTATAATTATCCCTTTGATGTTTAGCTCTAAAATTAATATTAAAAGTGTTATAAGACTCGTAAGTTGCACAAAACGGGATTTCCGTTTTTTCGTAACTTTGCATGGTATTTTCGGTTGTTTAAACAATATAAATTTTTTTTTAAATACCAGAGAATTCTGTAACTGTTTGGGGGGCTATCAAAACCCATAAAATAATTGAGAATTTTCATTTTGGGGGGGCGCTTTTTAGGGGGGGCCTATATTTAAATTTTTTTTTAGAGTTCTGATAGCCCCCCAAGGAATTGTTATAATTATCCCTTTGAAGTTTAGCTCTAAAATTAATATTAAAGGTGTTATAAGACTCGTAAGTTGCACAAAACGGGATTTCCGTTTTTTCGTAACTTTGCGTGGTATTTTCGGTTGTTTAAACAATATAATTTTTTTTTAAATACCAGAGAACTCTGTAACTATTTGGGGGGCTATTAAAACCCATAAAATAATTTAGAATTTTTCATTTTGGGGGGGCCGCTTTTTAGGGGGGCCTATATTTAAATTTTTTTTTAGAGTTCTGATAGCCCCCCAAGGAATTGTTATAATTATCCCTTTGAAGTTTAGCTCTAAAATTAATATTAAATGTGTTAGAAGACTCGTAAATTCCACAAAACAGGATTTCCGTTTTTTCGTAACTTTGCGTGGTATTTTCGGTTGTTTAAACAATATAATTTTTTTTTAAATACCAGAGAACTCTGTAACTATTTGGGGGGCTATTAAAACCCATAAAATAATTTAGAATTTTTCATTTTGGGGGGGGGCGCCTTTTAGGGGGGGCCTATATTTAAATTTTTTTTTAGAGTTCTGATAGCCCCCCAAGGAATTGTTATAATTATCCCTTTGAAGTTTAGCTCTAAAATTAATATTAAAGGTGTTATAAGACTCGTAAGTTGCACAAAACGGGATTTCCGTTTTTTGCAACTTTGGATGGTATTTTCGGTGGTTTAAACAATAGAACTATTTCTAAAAAGTATAGGGAACTCTAGAACTCTCAAAATTTTTTTAAAAAGTTGAGGATGGGGGGCCAACTTCACAGAGGTCAATAAAGGTAAATCTTGCAACAGTAATCTAATTGACGCAAAGAAGATGGGAAAGAAAATTTCATCATTTCATACTTTTCCAAAGGACGCTCGAAGTAAAGATTGGATTTTAAAATGTAAATGTAAAAATAAAAAACAAATATTGTAAAAAAATTGACTAATCTTTTTCTTAGGAATCAAAATGTAGAAATTAATGAAAAACTAGTAAAGGCTTCCTTTCAAAAACGGGTATTTATTAGAATCAAATTTTTAAATATCCAAAGATTTTTACAACAATTAAGAAAACATAAAATCAAAGACAAAGAACTTGAGAAAAATCACTTCATAGGATTACTTATGACATAAAAATGTAATATTTACAAAAATTCAAGGAAAGAAAACGCTTATGTAATTTTAGATTAAATTTTTTTTTTAATATTTCTATTATTTTATATTATGCTCTGTATTTATTTGAAATATTTACAAAATATTATTATGGTACTTTACAAAAGTACATACATCAACTTGTTAAATTATATTTTATTTGCTTCAGAATAAACCAAATATCAAATCAACCTTTCTCTCACCTATCAAATTTATTAAAATTAATAAATTAATAAGTTATTTGGCAATACAGTATTGATTTAATGTGGAAAAGTAAATAATAATCTAAAAATGACCAGAAACAAAGGGCGGAGGGGTAAAATCAGTCTATTGGCTACGTCAGAGCTCGATTCCTCCCCACCATTTTCCCTCTGAGTGAGCGAACCTGGTAGTTTTATTGACCTTGGTTTAGGCGGATATTAATATCCATATTGGGCCTTCTGTATCTCACCCCTCCATACCACCCATTTTATCTCAAATCCGCATTAATGATAATGATTAAAATTGTTACAGTAATATAACATTGCATTTTATTTAATATTAGATAGGTATTAACATTATTTAAATAATGTTATTTAATCTTATAGAATTTATACGCTGAATTTTTCAAATTATTTTTATCTAAAGTAATTTTAATTTAAGGTTAAATATAAACTATGAAAGAATTTTAAAATTAATTTGAGAAGAAATAAAGCCTGCTCATTTATTCTTCAGATCATGGATAGCAGCAGACCATAGTCAATTTCTCCTGACAGACCCAGAAAATATGGGAAAACCTTTCATCAGTTTATTGAAAATTGCAGCAGTGGATCCATAATTTAACTTCAGGAGATTTTATTTTTTATTTTAATATAATAGTAATTAATATGGAAGAAAAGTAAAGAAGCTATATAAAATTATGTATAAGTAGTCCTTGAAGGCCTGTTAAAAAAGTAACATAATTTTTATTTTTAAATAGGGAATTGTAAGAACTATGCTTTTAGGGATAATTTTTAAATATCTGTTTTCTTGAAAGTTCTTTGGTAGTTGTATATGTGTTATAATTTAAAAATATTATACATATAGAATAGTTTAAGTATTCAGCTCAGATCGGTCACAAATTTTTCTATTTTTGATAGTTTCAACTTCTCCTCTTCAACGCCCTCCATCATACAAAAATTATTTTTCATTACGCTAATGAACCATAATAAAAATATTAAGTTGATAAGAAATTTGATAATTTCCCTTCTCGAAAACTAAAATATTGTGCAGTTTTTGACATATAAGAGCGTTGACGTTATTTCTATGCACTTTATGATCGAATCTGAAAATACCAGAATGTTCTTTGAATTTAAAATCCATCAAAACAATTATTATAATAAAATTTATTTTCAAGTTAATTTATTATTAGCCATATTTACACCAATTTAAAAAAAAATTTTGTCACTTAATGACTACTCATCACAATGACGACGTTTCGGCTTGTCGAGCCATTTTCAAGTCTAAAAAAATTTTTTCATTTACAATCATATATTAACTTTAACATATTTCAAATTATAAAGATTCTTATTATGTACCTAAAATACCCATCATGTACCTGTCATTTTCACTTATGCGAATTGCAAGTTTCTACTCATAATAAAATTCCTTATTATTGTCATGTTCACCTTTAATTATTTAACAACATTATTATTACTCAATTCTTTACTATTAAATGATTCAAAATAAGTTAAAATTACCTTGTTTCTGAGTCACCCATATGTCATCCATCTCATTTCTATTCAGTGACTGGTTATTCTTATAGGAGTAAGGGAAGACTATTTATTTTGAACATATATAATGCTGTTACTCAATATTACATGTGGATCTATTTTAAGTAATATTAGCTGATTTATTTCAATTTTTTACGCTAGTTCAATTGAAAAAATCAAAATTTTTTTAGACTTGAAAATGGCTCGACGAGCCGAAACGTCGTCATTGTGATGAGTAGTCATTAAGTGACAAATTTTTTTTTTAAATTGGTGTAAATATGGCTAATAATAAATTAACTTGAAAATAAATAGTATGCACCGAAGAAGAATTGAGTAATATTGTGAATAAAATTTAATGTCATGAAAAAACTTGAATTACTTCGGTTTAAGGCTTTGATTGTCATTTTTAAAAATCATTTTTCTCCTATACCACTTTTATTGAATTTGTTTGACAAATTAATGTTTGTATGGCTTCCAGAAAATCAAAATATAAGAGCACAAGTTTGGATCTTAAATTTAAAACTTACAGGTACATGAAGCAAGATGAAATCCATGAAAGTTTCAGAGTTGATTAACAGTTTAATGTAAATATAAAATAAAATAAATAGAAACCCTCCTACTTACCACTTTCTTGGTCAATGGTTGTGCAAGAAAGCGATTTGACAGAGATCACGCTCAACTTCCAGGTTTTCCCTCTTGATTACTTTTTTAATTAAGAGTGTTAATTTTATAAAGGCTATGTATGCTCTAGAAGGGTATCTCAATCCCGGTCTTTTCACGGCTGATTAACAGAATAAATAATTACCTGCCACACCCGGACACGAACCTGGGACCCAGATCATAAAAACATAATGTCTTACTCATTGAGCTACACTGCTTCCGTATATGCAAAAATTTGAATAAATAAAATTAAAGTTATATTTTTAGAAGTAATTTAATTGTACATTAAAAAATTTTGCTGTCATTATTTTGTTTTAGGTATTGACTGTATTTTAAAAAGGTTAATTTGTGAATATGTTTGTCTTCTCTTCAAAGATAAACTGTAGTGAATACAAAAAATGCTCAAATGAAACTTTATATTTGAAAATAACATCACATGCCTAAACTTCAAAAATTTAAATTAAATTAATTTTATATACGTGCCATATTCAATATAACAATAATAAAAATAATAATATCAATATAACAATGTGAAATGTGGTTATTGATTATATGGGCCCAACAATCAATCCTTTTAATAATTCATCTTTTTTTATTTCACTTTTAACTTCCGTATTCGAGGGCAAGATAAGTAAACAATTGGCCTCTCTCCAGCTCATTAGCCTGCTGCTGATTTGATCACCTGTAATCATTAATGCATTAATTGATCTTTGCATAATCAACTAAGAAATGTTTTTAATTAACTTACCAGTCGTTTTTGCTAATGGTATCCCGTCTGATTGGTTCCAATCCAGAATAACCCTTCTGTATTCAGGTCTAACATCTAATTTTTTAATATCAAATCCAAGCTGAAATAATAATATTAAATAACAATAGTTAAAGATGCTTATGACTATAGAAATAATTCAAGGGATAAGGAGGGGTGAACATTTTTTTTTTTCAAACCGAGTCATGGTCAGGAATGAAGAAGGTATGTCTTAGGTAATTTTTCTTTAATTAAAGCAACTCTTTAGGAACCTCATTAAGATAAATGCTACTGTAATGGAGAAGGTATGTGATACAACAAAGTATACTATGGGTGGATGGTCAATGATTTGAATGGCGGACAAGAACCACTAGCGGATCCAGGATTTAATTTTTGGGAGGGGGGGGGGGCTTCAGCTCGAAAGCTTTATATATACAAAACAATAATTACTTTGGAATGAAAAGAAAGAAACTAAATATCTATATGAAATAGTGTTTAAGTGATTGGGGGCGGGGTGGCCGAATAGGCTAAAGCGTGTGTAACAGCACCGCTAGTTGCCTGGTAACAGGATAACAGAGATTTGAGATGATATAAAAAGTACGAGTTCGCGTCCGGGTGCTGGAGGGGATTTTAAATTTCTCCGGCCCGGGAAAATCCCATATAGCCTAAAAGGCGACGTAGGGAAGAACAAAAAAAAAAAAAAAAAAAAAAAAAAGTGTTTAAGTGATTCTTCAAATCCTATAAATGTAAATACACATACAATAATAACTTTAAAAGAATTTTTTTCAAAAGACATGGTTATATTTTACCATTTGGGGGAGGGGAGAGAGCTCGCGCCCAGAAGCTTCTCCCCTATCTCCCCGTAGATCCGCCTGTGACAAGAACTAAGTGTTTAAAGTTTATGAAAATCAGGTGTTTTGAGTGGGAGGGGAGGAAGGGAGGAGGTTGGTAATAGTTAAGAAACTATTTATATTTATTAATCTCTATTCCTATACGTTATCATTTATTAATTTTTATTATAATATGTTATTCTTGCATATTTCTTTCATATTACACTAATTATTTGGTTTATTTATTTTTACTTATGATATACTCATCTTTTTCATTTTATAAATATAACACAAAAACATTTTCTAAGCATATTTCAATGTTTTTATTATAATTGATTTTGTTTGTTTTTGGGGTTAGTTATTATGGGATTTGTTTTTATTATTGTTATGTTTATATAACAGTTACCTCATTGATACGATCCACCTTTTTTTTCTCTTATACTTTTATAGCTATCATTTTTCTCATGATGTTTTGTACTTTTTAATTTTTGCCCTGATGGAGACCTGTATATTCGGATCATAACGTTAGCAAATTCAATAAACAAATTTTTGACTGCACATCCTGACCAATTTTTTTTTATTTAATGGTCAGTAATGTCAACTTTGGAATTTGGTGCTTCTCTGTAAACCCGTATTTTTTTTTTTTTTTTTTTTTTTTTTTTTTAAATATTCTCGATTTCACATCTTATAAAGTTTGTAATTTATCTGAGAGACATTGTGTTTCGTTTTTTTGACATTTTTAATTTTAGTTGACATTATATTTTAGTTTTTAGATATTGAAAATAGGTTTTGGAACAGTTCAAAGGAATTGAAAAATGCTTGGCTATGTGTTAAGTATAATCGATTTTTGGTTGCTACACAAACTGATTGAGGCAAAACTCACCAACCAAATATCAATCTGCAACACTCTTCTGAACCAGAACGAAAGAGACCCATTTCTCAAATGAATAGTGATGGGTAACGAAAATTAGATCATCTATCTACGAAAATGTAGTGCATAGGAGAGCGTGGACAACTGCTGATGAGCCATCTAATGCCACCCCGAAACGGCCTACATGCGAAAAAGATTTGGCTCTCCATATGTTGGGATTATCGTGGTATACTGTAGGAGTATTCTCCAAACCTTGCACCATCCAACTACCACTTATTTCGATCCCCCCAAAACTCTTTTAATGGGAAATCGTTCACTGATGAGAGAGATGTGAAAACATATCTCAATCAGTTTTTCGCTTCTACGCCCCAGATATTTTACAGAGAGCATAATTATGAAATTGGTAGAAAGATGGCAAGAGGTCATTAATAATAACAGCGAATACGTTATTGAATAAATTATATTATTTTTAACAAAAAAGTGATTTATTTCACCCTTCAAAAACCGAATGAACTTATGAAATCACCCAATAAATAAATGCAATTGAACCACATTTTCTAAACATTCCATTATATATGCTAATATGAAACTTCACTAAATTGGAGAAGTTGGAAATACAAGAGAAAGAAAGCAAAGATACTTAATTAAACTTTTCAAATTTAAAATGCTTAATAAAGAGGATCAAGCTGCATTGGTGACAATACTTAAATTTCGGACAAACAGCTTATTATTTTATAATAAAAACAGTTTATCCAATATTTTGTAAATAGCCTCTCAAGATGAATTATTATTCTTAATCATAATTAATGGATTCTTACTAGTGATAATACTAATAAGGATTTTTGTGATAGATCAACTTTTGTATAAAATAGCAATACTAACCCTCACGGTAATAGTTTTTGGAAATGGTTCTTGAAATCCTGCAATGGCCCTTAGTGCAGGAAGTACATAAAGGTGGAAGGATACAGTAGCAGAGGCAGGATTTCCAGGAAGACAAAACAGCATTTTCATTTTACCATTCCAACAGCACGTAGCAAATGTAGTAGGCTTCCTAGAAAAATTTAAAACTATACATTAAATTTTCCAATAAATTCCATATTGTAATGGGACACATGGCTAAGACCATTCCACATGCAGAAACCAAGATGAGACCTTGAACATTTCTGTTAAAGTCAACTCACAAAAATTTTCAATAATTCTGGTCCTTCTCTTTGATTCAAGTTCACGAAAAACAATTTTTGTCAAGCCTAAAATTAATTGTAAAATTTTCCACGGAAAAAATTAATTTCCGTTAAATAATATTAGTTTTCAGAAATTGTTATAGATTTTTTCATCACTCTCCTTACCAGCTATAACTTAATAAGTTAGATATTATTGTTATAACATATTTAGCTTTCCAAGGATATATTATACTTATATAAATACTCTTATTTTAATAACTTTATTATTTGTTCAGTTTTAGACGTTTTAGTTAAATACCAATTCTTTCATAGTTTATGTAAAGCCATTTCTCATTACTCCTAACCGCAAGAGGCTGCTAATTGTTTCAAATGAACAAATTTAAAGGTAACTTAGAAAAAAATAAATTTTGAAAATTCATCCTGTCAGATTATTTATATGAGGTTAATTGACAATAGGTCTGACAATATATATATATATTTAATATGGTGAGTGGTGATTCTTTAAGGAAGCATATAATTATATATTTATAAGTATTAATTTTATATATATATAATTATATAATTAACTAACTCTGACATGTAAGTTATAAAATGTCAACAGTTTTTCTTAAAACTGGTGAGCGACTTAAAATTACGGTAAATGATTCTCAAAATATTAATATAGTAACTAATAAATTACACGAAGATATTACCCTGGCTTCATGTTGACCCTTGCAAAATGGATAGTTGCCCTTAAATCTTCAGTAATCACTGCCTTTAGATAATCTCTTTCACCCATTGAAACTCCGCCGGTAGTCAAAATAATATCTGATGATTCTAATCCTTTAATAAGGTGAGAAAGTAAATCATCAGGCCTATAATCAGAAAATTATTACATTATTTGAAAAAAAAAAAAATCAAATCAAATTATTTCAATGTCTGAAACTTATTTATTAATGCATAAAAAAATCCTTGGATATGCAGATAATATAGCTGTCCTTGGAAGCAATCAAGAGGACATTGAGAAACTCACTAAGAATAAGATAAGAGAAGCAGAGCGAATCAACCTACAAGTAAATGAAGAAAAAACAAAATATATGATAATAAGCTGAAAAGTCCCTCCCCCGAATAACAGGATCTGCGTAGAAGAGAAATCGTTCCGAGAGTAGAAAAATTCAAATCCACAATGATCTCAATGAAATAGATCAGCGTATAATAAGCGCAAATAGAGTTTTCTTCTCCCATTCAAAAATATTGAAATTACAAAAATCTCAAATTAAGGTTGTAAATTGCAATGATAAAGCCAGTTCTAATATATGGCTGTGATACCTGGACACTAACCAGCACCCTTGAAAAAAGTATTGAAAGATTTGAGAGAAAAATCCTCTGCACGATAACTGGAACAATGTGGGATCAGAGTACTAACACGAGAAAGAGCAGCTTACAGAAACTGGTCAATCAATATTTCATGATATGAGCCAAGGAGGTTAAGATGAGCTGGATATGTAACTCGGAGCAATCCATCTAGAAGTCTCTACACGACAATGAATGCCGCAATGGTAGGCAAAAGACGATTTGGATTTAGGAAGCCAAAAAGCAGATGGATAGACAGAATCAACAAAGGTGCAATAGAAATGTGTGCAGATAACTGGAAAGAAATAGTCCAAGACAGAGAGAGATGGAGTAGGCTTGTTAAGATGGCAAAAGATTTACTTAATCATTCTGATGGGCTAATCACATTCATACGAATTAGAAATCGTTCTCACAGCAAACTGCATAGATACACTAAAAAATTAGAATGAAATATGGTAATAATTAACACTCCTTAGGTAACTCAGCAAAGACTGGCGAGGAGTTTGATGAAGGATATCCTTCACAATTCAATTATGTTGAATGTAAGATTGCGCTAGTAGGTGCTGTCTTCCTCATGCCCTGTGCAATGTTCAACAAAAATGTATCTAATAATTTGTTGATTGTGAAAAATGTTTATAGGTACTAGTATAATTGTTAAAATAAAAAAAATAGAAATAGGAACGAAGAATAATATAAAAGTAAGCAACCTACTCATCCTTGGCAATCCCAAGATCATACGTGGGAAAATGATGACCGCGGAGCAGTGACAGGAGAGTTATCCGGTTACTGTCTCTGATACTTCCTGGCCGCAGCTCTACGCCTGGCTCGACAACTTCATTTCCTGTTGACAGTACGCTCACCTTTGGTAATCTACGAAATGTTTCGTTAAAAAATGATTCATTAAACAAATAAATAAATATATCTATTAATATATAAATTAATTAATAAAAGAATTTATTCCAATACATTATAGTGTGATTGATATAAAGGCTAATTTCTATAATTCTTCGTACAAATATTAATATCCTTAATAGAAATATTAGTATTAGTATCCATATTATTATTATTAGTAAATCCTCCCAAAGGATTCTGGTTTTCATATTTATTTTATATCAGTGTATTAATACTAGCTTTAAATTCTATTATTTATGAAATCATTCATCACAAAAATAACAAAGCTTGAAATGAAATATTAAATTTTTTCCATAATTTTGGAACTAGAAATTTTTCCCTAACAACTTTTCAAGTAAACTTATTATATTTATAATATAACTTATATCATTAACAGTGTTTAGTTAAGGGTTCTACTTATTTTGTCAAAAATCAATCTAAATATGACTTTTTTTTTCTTAACTGCTCAAACAAACGACACATTAGAATCAAGCAATTGATTTCTTATTGAACATAATTTTTTTTATAGAATTTACATAAAAGTTAAACTTTAATCATCAACCTGGAACGTGGTTTGAAAAAAAATCTTTAGAACTTTTATTTTAAAACTTTTTAAAAATATTCCATAAAAGTTTCAACTTCTGATATAAACGACGCATAACACATAAATCAGAGGTAGTTTTTTTTTTAAATTAATCAATTTTAAAACTTATATTAAAGATTATAATATGATAGCATTAGTTTTCTGTAAGGTTTAAATAGAAGAAAAACAATTAAGACTATAAGTGAATAAACAATTAAAGAAACATAATTTTAAACTTACCTGAAAACTGGAACATTTGTAATACCAATCGTTGCAAGAAGTCCAAGTTCTATAGGAGTTATGGGATCGCCTTTGTTTAAAACAATTTCATTCAAACCAATGTCATTTCCGACAGGTCTAGATAAAATAATAAGTAAAGTAATTAATCATAAAACCTAACTGATATTTCTAAGTGAATTTCTACACTATTTGATTTCAAATTTTAATTATACCATGTTTCATTCCACAAATGACTCTGTCACAGATTTCACTGATGTTATTGTACCAGAGATATTCTTTACTTTTGTGGTATAGGAAAATTTAGTCCCATATTAAACTAGTAAAGATTAAAATATAAGTATATGATGAAGTACAAAAAGAATGACTTAGTTTATCTATCAATTAATCTTGTATAAATAAAATATTAAAAAATAATGGATTTAAGCACATTTATAGGTATTTATTAGTTAAATGTTACAGAGTTATATGTATATATATATATATATAAAACTTCTGTATTGGGAATAGGATTCTCAGTTAAGCCTTCTCATCAAATTAAACAATCACATTTAAGAACATAACTATTTTTATAACTTATTGGGATAATAGAAACCTAAAACTTTTCTCAGAAGTGCCTAATTTTGAATAAAAACCATGAAAAATTAGATTTTGTTCCATTTTGAGTTGAATATCACAGAAACTATTCAATTCACAAAAAACGATGTGCATACCTTTATTAAACTAAATTTGCCAAAATTTGATCCCTATGAAGTTTAACAGTTCCTAGGATACATTTGTTCAAAAACTAGCACTTTTATACCAAATAACCTTCTGCAAAAGACATATATGCATATCATTACCTGATGTCTTGCCCAGGTTTCGGAGCAGTAGTAATTTCTATCTCTATTTCTTCACCATCACTACTTGACTTCAACAACTTAGTATCTTCCACCTACGAGAATATCCCTCTTAGTAATAATGGTTATTAATATAATACTTCAGGTCTAGCAGACAGAATACATCAGATCACATATTCTTATCCACGTTAGAATACAAATTGTTAGGGAAATTATTGTATTAAATTAGTCTAAAAAAATATCATAGAATCTTTCAGCCATGTTTTTTCTTCAGGATCAAATAAAAAGTTAAGACAAGCAAGTAAATTATGTTATTAAAAATAATCAATAACAATTTTACAATTTATAAGTACAAACAAATTGAGGCAGTCGGTAGTAAAATATTGTTACTAACAAAATGAAAACTGTTATAATGTTAAAATGATAAGTAACTGCAATGCTTTACCTTAATATATCATTAATTAATCGCAATATTACTCTTCAAAATAACAAATTAAGTACAGATTCTTTTAACAACCTGATAAATCCAGTGTAGCAAAAACTTCAATTAAAAATAAATTTCATAAAATTTTTTTTACGACTGATGCCTCATATAAATTATTATGAAATAATCAATCTATCTAATAATTTTATATGCTGAAATTCTAGTAAAGGTGCATGCAAGTTCTAACAAAGATGGATATTGTCGGTTTATTTCAAAAAGTCATTAAGTAGAATTTTAATGAATTTGAGATAATTGAATTTGAAATTTCTGATTCATTAGAAAAAATACTAAAATAGAAATTTGATTATTTATTGTTTGTTATTTTGCAATTTTAAATATGTATTATATTTCTTACAATTAATTAAAATACTTAACATATACGTAACAATGAAAAAAAAAAATGAAAAACTGAAACCACTACGCACTTAATGACTTTATGCACACTATCATAGTTAAATCAAACACTTAATTACTTTTATAACCTTACAAGTACAGGGAATGTGAGTTAGACTTACATCAGTTAATTAGTTTTATTAACCTTCTGATCAATTAACCAAGAGAAAGAAGTCATTAAGCACCAGATAATGAATTTTAGTGTTCTACTTACACCTTATTTAGAGAATAAGAATTTCATTAAATAACTTTTTTGAATTTTTACTCAGTAAAATCAGAATATCGTCGTGGACTTAATGAAACTATTTTTTACAAATAAAATTATTTGTATCATTTTTATGCACTTAATGAGTTATCCTTTTGATGAATATGATTGAAATTAACAACTACCTACCATCAGGTTTAAATCGACCAAAAGTGTACTTAATGAATTTTATCAATAAACTGACGATATAAACTAATTTATATACTACAGATTAATGTTTTTAATACTACTGTTTTCCAATAACATTTTCATGAATCAATTCATCATTAATTTAAGTTCAAAAGCAAATGTAGACACTAATTTTTGAAAATTATGTATGTCAGATAATGATTATTTTAACAAATTGATGATTTAAAAAAAAAGTATATATCAGACACAACAATCCCATTTCGACTGACTTCCAACAATACATAAATCAATCATGTTAACCAACTCCTTAAAACGAAACTGCCATGTACAGAAAAAAACTACCAACATTTCAGTTTCACACACTGAAGATATAATGAGATTAACAAACATACTAAGAACTATCAATTTACTCATAACTATCACTATACACAACTCAGCTAAGAAGACGAGCCATCATTTACAAAACTCATATTACCAAAAAAAACTACCACAAAATACAAGAGACGGATACATATTTTAATGGATCCCAAGTAACTGACAAATCTTCAACAACAGAATTGACAACACTTACCATGTTGATAGATATATTAATATCTGAATAGAATGCAAAAATGGCCCTCAGTTAGGAATGTGATATGTTACCGCCATATCACTAACAATTCAAATAGTAAGCTGAAAATGTAAAATAGAAGTTAGAACTATTAATTACAGGTACATCTTAAAATTATGTAATTTTTGCAGGCAGTTAAAAACTGAATATGGTGAGTTTTTGTATTTTTTTCATTAATTAATTCATAATAAAATATTATAATTTTTACCATGGAAAACAAAAATCAGTTGAGGAAATATATTAAAAGAAAGTTACAAATGGATTCCTCTAAAGTTTTAAGTCTTGGGGATGACAAACAAAACACTGAAAATAAAATGAATTATGCCCTTTCAAGTCAGTAACAATGATCTTCTGTAAGTTGAGCATTTCCCCCTAATGCAGGCACATTTAGGATATTAATATTAGTTTAGGATACAAATGTATTCCAGCCAGCGTAGGAAAATCAAAATTTGTTTTTGGGTCTGCCTTATGTATAAACAAAAACTTAATTGTTTAACCACCACAATAAAGGTATTGAGGGGCGAACCAATTTGCCAATTCACCAAAGAGGTTCCAATTCATTTCTCTGGGCCGCCAATAAACAAATAATAGAAACTGAGCCCACACCATCCCAAACCAGGCACTTTGGGACCTCACATCCCAAACCACCAAGTTATCTCAACAAGAAAGGTAACAAATTTTAAGAAGTATGTAAAACAAGATTGAAATATTATGATTCATTTTATGAGCACGCATCCAGCTAGGAAGGTCAAACTTTATTTCATGATGGACTCACAGAATAAATCTTAAGCTTCTCACTCTGGAGGAATTTTCTGGAGAACAGAAATCTTTTCACACTAAAAGATGTGACAGACTGCCAACATTTTTCTATGTGAAGTGAAATTAAAACATTAAACCAGCAGACAACTGGATAATTTATGAATTAATAATATAATTAAATAAATAAAAATATATATATATTCTTATTTCAATCATTTAAAACTAAACAAACCTCAATAAGAGACAAGATATATTTAATAACTTAAACTAAATATTTTTTATTATTAACCAAACAAAAATGTGGAACATTAGATTAAATTTGCAATCTGCAAATTTATTTGCAATAAGCAAATTTTTTAGCAGCTTCACAGCTTCTCATCACGTCCGGGATATAAATCAAATCAGCAGGTCTCTTGGCCAACGCCTACGTAATCGTCGTGGTGGGCTGTACGGGTTTCTTGTACGATGAAGGATTTCTGTCAGAGGATTCATGTTGTACGTCAGTCTTTGGTGAAAGTTAATGTAGTTCTCTTTTGCAGTATCTAAAATTGTAGGTACGTTTAAGTCTTTATGTAGTGTGTCATTTGCGACATAAAAAGGTGCGTCAACTATCCTTCGCAACACTTTTGACTGAAAGGACTGACCTTTTTTAATGTTGGAAGTTTTAGCAGAGCCCCACAGTTCTATGCCGTAAGTCCAAATAGGTTTAAGTAAGACTTTATAAAGGGTTAGTTTGTTAGTTAAAGATAATTTTGAACGTCTGTCAAGTAATCTGGATAAGAGACCGTATCGTCTGTTTAATTCTATTCGTTTTTGTCTGATGTGAGTCTTCCAAGTAAGTCTTTTGTCCAGGTAAAAACCTAAATACCTAATTACATCTGATGTTGAGATTTGAATGTTATTAAAATATATTTCAGGGGAAGGTTTATGGTTAAGAGTGAATACCACATGCACACTTTTTTTTTCATTCATCTTAATTTTCCACCTTGTTGCCCAGTCTGCAATATAGTTCAGATGATTTTGAAGGATGGTAGATGCTCGAAAACTAAATATAAAAAGGTTAAATTAAGTTAAGGTTAATGCTGACCTGTACAACAGCATCTGCATTGGTCGGTAACGGCCCTCCTGTATTGACTCTTACGCACTCACCATTAGACAAAACCAAATCTCCACCAGCCTAGGAAACATTAAAAGATAATAAATGGTTACGCAAAATAAGATTCAGCATTTAGTTTTTAAATGAAATAGGACAAAATAGAAAAAAAAAAAAAAACTTAATTTTGGGACAATGTTCCTTAAAAATAGTATTAATGTGAAAAAAAAATTAAATCACTTCACTTTTTCATTTTACAAATTACTTTTTCAGAATACAAATTACAAATTCAAAACAAAATTGTTTTTAAAATAAATATTAAGATATCACCAAAATTATAAAGAACGCAAAGCCATAACTATTAAATGAAAGCATGGGGGAAAAAAACATTAAGGAATTTGGCAGAACATCCAATACCTTATCAACAATTTTGAAAAATTGAGACAAGTATGACGGAGGATAGTAGATTAACTGTCGATGTAAAGAGGATAATAGAAGCCAATTTTACAGGCTCTGAAGACTATATTCATAAATCGCAGAATGAGATTCAAGTTATCGACAGTCAATTGTATCGTTTCCATAAAATGTATTCTTCTTGAATTCTGAGCAAATAAAATCTGTGTCCCAGAGCTAAAGAACACCATGTCTATTTTTACATTTATTCAGGAGAACAAAAATTCCATAACTTTGAGATATTAAAGTTTGTTTCTTAGTTACTAAATTTGTATCCCAGAGGTAAAGGATACCATGTCAAATTTTTGTATTAGTTCCGTAAGCCAATTTTCCGTAACTTTGAGCTAATAAAATTTGTCTCTTAGTTACTAAATTATATAATAAAATAAATGGACATGATGTCCTTTACCTCTGAGGCACAGAAATTTAATTTGTTTAATTTTTTTCCTGCATTTCGTTATTGAATTTACAGTTTTAAGAATAAGACTTTAAACAAGTTTCATCAAAATCTATAAGAGTGTTATGGCACTAAAATCTGTAGAAAAACACATTTTTTAGCCAATTTGGTACATACAATCAAATCACTGAAAATATGTTACTTGGTTAAAATATGTTGTTGGTTAAAGATATGTTGAAAATTGCAAATCGAAAATTTGACTTAATTACAACATTATTCTGATCAAAGTAAAGTAAAAATATTGACTTGACAGAATTCTTTTGTTTTGTTTTTTAAGCTAATATTTCTACTTATTGTTAAAAACAAATCTCTTTTATTAATCATAATCTACCTTTTAAAAAAATCTCTATACTTTCTAAAAAGCCAGAGAAACTTTGGTATCTCCAATGACTTCTTGAAAGGAACTACGTCTTCAAGTGACTTCATACAATACCAATAATAGGCAAAAACTTCAGAATTAAACATTTAAACCTCCTTATCATGATGGCAATAAACTAAATCATCAGACTGATAAATTTTCATTAGAAATTAAAATTAAAAATGTTTAATGTGATTTATTTCTAATACGATTATCAGTACTTTTTGTCTAAGCGGCCGCTACTGACTGCTATCTGCCAATGTTTATAACCTGAACACTGATAGCTCCCATAACGCAGTAATAAGCCTTCTCCTACTTCACATCTTCGTATTATTGTATTAAATTCGTATTATTGAAAGTGTAAACAGATACAAAAACAAATGTAATAACAACAAAAATACTTTTATTTGACGACAAATATATTAATGAAATTAAAAAAAACAAATTTAAAAGAACATATTTACATAGAAAAGAAAAAATATCAACACTATAAACAACGTATATACAAAGTATTTTAAGTTAATTATTCACTTCCTTTTGTCTTATTTAATTTGGAAGGCAAAATTGTTTTATGCTACTTAAAATAGCGAGGAACGAGTCCTCTTCTCTGTGAACCCGCCGCCACAAAAATTTGCACAAATATGAATCGAAGTGTTGTCTGGCAGTTCCTCTATGTACTTTATTTCTCCACTTAGCTGAGCCCCACAATCGTTCTATGTGTTGAGTATGAACCCCAGTTGATGGATCGACAAAATTATAGCGGTGATTCACTAGGAAATGGTCATAGTTTGCTTCGTTCAGTTGTCGGGTGTTGTATCCTTTCCAACAGTCCGAATAAATGGTCATTCTCTCTTCTATATTTTCTTTAATGGCTTGTAATAATGTTGTTGTCTTTCTGTCATTTATTTTGACGATAAAACATTCATCTGTTTCTCGGCAAACTCCACCTAACATCCACCAATGATAAGCCAGCAAGTACCTCAACATTTTGAAAATATTTGAATTGCCTGTTCTTCTGAAGACGGTAAATCCCATATTCTAAGAAGATCCATAATATGACGAAAATAAACGAAAAAAAAAATGAAAAATAAACACCAAGGGGTCACAAACTAAAAAAAAATTTTAAATAAACACAAACGGGCCAAAAACTAAAAATAAACACAAACGGGCCAAAAGTAAACAATTTAATAAGTGAACGTAATAAGGGAATAACTGAAAACTAAACAATGCAATAACTCAAAAGTTTGGTGGGTTAAGAAGAGGGAGGTTATGTGACATGATGACATGACATTAGATAAGATAGATAAGAAGTAAGGTTTCAAAATGGCCGCTTAGACAAAAAGTACCCGATTATCTTGTATTAGTAGTATAGATAAAAAAAAGTTATAACAATCATAAAGAAATTTACTGAAAAAAAAAATAGTTATTTCTTTAAATAAAACAATCAAATAATTAAAGTAAGTTTGAAATTTATAAAGAACACCAACCGACATGCCAGCAGTTAAAGATTTTAAAACTTTTCTGGATCCTTTCCCATCACTTGAAAGAACTGCATAGCCATCTTTTATCGAAGCCCTAAAAGGTGGGAGAGGATCAACAGATGAAACATCACTAGCAACTACACGGCCAAAGAGGTTTAAACTGAAAAAAATAAGAAAAAACTGTAGAGAATAAAGATAACTAAAGATAATAGCCTTCACCAATGAATAGATTAGTAGGTGAAAATAAAATTATAAGGGATGGATAATCAAAGCACTAAAACAAAAAGAAATCAACACAAGGCATTGACAGAAACCAAGAAACACTGATAACAGAAATGGTAGATGGGAATGTGAAGAAATTAGTGAGGTGGTGCCTGGGAGCCTCTAACAATGTTAATTAACAATGGAAACTATTAATATTATTATCTCTATTTATTTTTAAGTTATTTAAATTTTTATTGCTTTTGTAATTCAAATCTTTCGATGCACCTGACATTTAACACCCCATGACATCATCTTGGCATTAGATAGATAGATAGTTTATTGGCTATTATGTACATCATTTAGCCATGGATTTTGGCCCATTTGGTGTTAGTAGTTGTTAGTATTGAATGGCAATGAAAGCATAAATAAATAAAGATATAAATACGTATACATATGTAAATTCCTATTGCTTATTATAACCTCCCTATATAATCCAATAATACATTGAATAGAAAGAGAAAAAAACAATATATATATATATATATATATATATATATATAAACAATAAGTAAATAGAATAAATAAACAAATAGAAAATTATTTCTAAAATCCAAAACAATATAAAAAAGTGTATATCTGGAAATTAATTAATGATTCAATAATATATAGAATTAGACTTTTTTTTCTTTCTTCCTTTTCCCTCTCTCCCTCTCCTCCTCTCCCTTTCATTCCCTATACTACATAAATAGAACTACACTATATAGTTATTCACAAAGCTATATACATATAAATAATTAAATTATCATTCCTAAAATAATATAATATAGTCCTTACTCTAAATACCTATATATAGTTTTTAACAAAAAGAAATAGATGTTATTTAGTTTGTCCGCATTATCAATATTTAGAAGATTTTCTAAAGATAATTGTTTATTGTTTTGGACAATATAATCTCCTAGGTATTTTTCCCTATCAATAGTTAGTCTGGGGCATTGCAATAGCAGGTGTTCTATGTTTTGGGTGATATGTTCTTGACACCATCCACATTTTTTCCCCACTTTTATAATCAAAGTGGTATTTTTATGGAAAAGTTTCAGCTTTTCTGTATCTGAAATTCTTAATTGGCTAACTAGTTTCAATTTGTTTACATTTACATGGTAAGTTAAATATTCTTGCGGCTGAGGGTTGTTAAAGCTACAAACAGTTCTGTAAAGTGGGTTGTATTTAGAGTTGAGAGCTCTATCAATATCTACAGAGTAGAGATGATTTGTTACATTTTCGATGATTATATCTTTATTAGTAAGTAAGTAATTTGGTTTTAGGTCTTGACATTATTTAGGCCTAAAGCAGACAACTGATAATTTTTTTGCATTGATAGTATTCAAGTTGGAAACTTAAATAATATTAAAATAGTAATATAAAAAAACTTTTACAATCATACATTTATCTTAATAATTGATTCACCAGCAAAACTGAAATTAATTACAACAGATGATGTAATTAGAATATTTTCATTTATTAATAAAAATATTTTCTTTAAATAATTGTTTAAAGAATAGCTTAAATATTTTGGACTGGCATTCAACAAGATTTATTTTTCACTATAGGCTATTTATTGAAACTTTGATAACATTACAACACAAACATAAAAGTTTAATCATTTTTTTAATTCACTTGACTTTCCAACATTATCAGGAAAGTTTCAACTTCCCTCAAATATATTCTCCTCAATCTCCAAGTCAGAGAACTAAACCTTAAAAAATATTACAACATAGCCATGAGTATTATAGTACTTGCTAACTGACTACATAGGAGCCTTAGCTAAACAAAAATAGTATGAAAAAACAACAAATGATACAGGTGGAGCAGAATATTTGAAGTTCTACAAATATTATAAAACTAAATGGAAAAAAAAAAATTATTCTGCATTGATGTCTCTGCCAATGGTGCAGTTGTATGTATTTTCAAATAAAGGAAAGTCAAAGTGAATGCGATTATAACTTCATTTAAAATAATTAATTATCATATTTTTCCTGCCTATCGAATCCGTTAAATTTATAAGTTTGGGTTACTCTCCATTTTCTTTTACGACTGTTTGCAGTACCAAACAATACTAGTGATTGTGTGGAAAAATAGATCTTTTGAAAAAATTCTGATTTTATTAGAAACCTTTATAACGAAACATATCGAAAAAATAACTTAACTGTAGTAACTATTGTATATTATTGGGTTCTCAACGTTTTGCATGAAAATCTTTATAGAAAGTTATGGATAAGTGATATAAGAAAAGTTAAAATAACAATACGAAAGCCCTGTATAGAAGGGTGTCAAGTATTTGTAAAGGGAGAGGATCGGCAAAGGTTGAACACTCTCAGCTGTTTTTGTTTGCTTCCAACCCTTATTTCTCCTTTAGTTTCCGATCAATTTTTTTCATTCAATATATTTCACCATTTTTTATATCAGTTTATTACGTGAAATGGTTAATTATTTTTAAAAAAATGAATAGTACTTTAAAGGAAGAAAATTCGAAAGTTAGGCATTTAAACACCGTTAGAGAACATCAATGAGAATAAGGTCTACATTAAATTAAAATCTGCTTGATATTACACTGATATAATGAATTTAATCAAAATCATTAGAGCTGTTTTCAAGAAAATCTTAAAAAAATAAATAAATAAATAAAACCTGTACCACTAACAACCCATGAAGGGTTATGGGTTCAGTACAATGTAAGGAAGTAATGTTTTACAAGGCCAACGGTTGTGCTGGGAGGTGATGGGCCAATATCACGCTTGACCATCAGGTTTTCCCCCTAAATTTTTTTTAAAAATTATTATTTAATTAATTAAGAGTATCCACTTTATATAGGCTGGGTTTTCCCCAGGATGGTCACCCGGCCTCAGGGTCACGACTCATGGCTGATGAAAAATTACTAGTCATCACATCAGCCGGGACCCTGAGCTCTGGAAGTCAGTGCTCACCAACTGAGCTACCCCGCTCTCCTAAAGCATGTGTAAGAATGGATAGTCAATATTGATGAAAAAGTTGCTGTAACATTCCAGGCATTTACAAATCTTAAATATGCAATTTCAGTTCCGTACGAATTTTTGTTTATGAGCTAGACTGTTCACATACACATAACACACACACACACACAGATCACTTAGCGAGACTATGTTATTACTAAAGGGTGTCCTCAAAATGTGTATTCCCGTTGAAAATTCGAATTTGAAAACTTGGATTCAAAATTTTCATGATCGCAATACTTTCCCTTACTTTACAGTGTGTCCTGTAAGTAGAGGGAAATTTTTATAGGAGTGATAACAGACCAGTAGGGCTATTAAAAAGTTTATGAAAGCAATGGGTCGATTTTTTAGCAGAAAAGTGGAAAATCCGAGAGTTTTGTGTTTTTTAAGGTATCATGTTTTTTGCTGAATAGGAAGCGGTAACTAAAGAAATATTTAATTTAGGTAATTAAAGATTGCTTCACTGTAAACTAGAAAAAATTTACATCAAAGGAGGACAGATTTTGTTATCGTTAAAACTATTTAAAGAGGACTTTTGAGTGGCTAAACTAAGCTAAGCTCTGTTTTTAAAAAAAATCATGAAATATTCACAATTTTTTTTTTTTTTTATTATAGTCCAATTTTATTATATACCACTGATACGCCTCTTTTAGGAAAACTTCCTCATTTAATTAGTTTTTAGTTCATATTAATTAAGTGGAGGATTATTGGAGAAAAAATTGAGATTCATATCAAGTTGTGCAAACAAAATGTAAAAGTACCCGTGTTTTCAGCAAAAATAACCACAATCTATAATTACAAAGCTCTTAATTTCTTGTTTTTCGATGACTTAGGATGTATGATAATAAATATAAATGTATAAACACACTTTTTATTTCTAAAAAAAAAAAATGATTTTTCAATAATTCATCATCAAAAGTGGTATTCGAAATGTGTTTTTTACTAAGAAATTACAGAAATTCATCTGTTTGTAATTGTAACTGATGAAATAAATGTTTCTAGTCCTAAACTTTACGTTTAAAATAAATTTATTTTATTATAATAATTGCTACAATTATTTTCATGAAAACATAAGTTAAAGAACATTTAGTTTTTCACTTTAAGCCGAATGGCCTAATAGCCAACGGCAGAGGCGTTTAATAAAAAATAAAAAAAAAATAAAAAATAAAAACAGTTTTTCACTTAAAAATACAGATCAATTTGTATAATAGAAATCTGGGTGAAAAAAATTATTTTGTAACCACTTTACCTGAAAAATATTTCAAAAATCATTAATTAATTTTTTGTATGCATAAAAAGTGTATTTAGGCATTTATGTTTATTATAATACATTCAAGACCATGGAAAAACATGAAATAAAAGCTTTACAACAATGAATTGTAAATTTTTTTTTTGTCCTCCCCTTCCTAGCCTTTAAGGCTATACGGGGTTTTCCCTGGCCAGGGCGTGAGGACGGGAATTAATGGCAGAATTAAAATAATCTCCCCAGCACCGGAACTCAAATTCGTGAATATTTTTACCAATTTATCTTGTATATATGGTTGCCTGACAACGGCAGTGCTGTGCACACGCGTTAGCCCATTTGACCACCCTGCTCCAATGAATTGTAATCGTTTGACTGAAAACAAGGGTACTTTTACAGGACAAAAATCACATCAATTTTTTTAAACTTGCGGTGAATCTCAACTTTTTCCCTAATAAACCACCACTTAATTAATATGGATTTAAAGCTAATTAAATGCGGAAGTTTTCCTAAAAGTGGGGTATCTGTAGTGTAGTTGGACAATGATAAAAAAAACAAAAAATTGCGAATAATTTATGATTTTTTTAAAAACAGAACTTAGTTCAGTTTAGCCGCTCAAAAGTCCTCTTTAAATTGTTTTAACAATGGTAAACTCTTATCTTCATTTGAATTAAATTTTGTCTAGTTTACAGCGAAGCAATCCTTAATTACTTAAATTAAATATTTCTTTAGTTATTGCTTCCTATTCGACAAAAAACATGATCAACTTAAAAAAACACATAAAACTTGAATTTTCAACTATTCTACTAAAAATTGATCCATTGTTTATATGAACTTTTTTGTCGCTCTTAAGGTCTTGATATCACTCCTATAAAAATTTCCCTCTACTTACTGGAAACCAATCATATTTCATATATAGGTAAGAGAGGAAACGAAGTGCTATTGCTCAGCAACCTGTAACCAAAGTTATACATGATAAAATAACAAGGAGTTCGCGTTATTAACAGAAGGAAAATTAGTTCTGGGCTGGCAATGTCCACAAAAGATTAATTAACACTGATCATACATTTTAATACATATGAAGAAATTCACATGTATCAGATGATATTAAAAAAAATAAATAATAATAAATAAGAACAAGGAGGAGACATATTAACTTGCAATACACATACACCTCACAGGAGTGAGCGACAATATCCGTTCAAGATGCAATTACCTCCATCACCACTGTATACTAATCATCGATTTATGATTCAGGGTTCAAGATGATATTATTACCTTATTGGAACTTCTTCTTTAGTCGAGACAAGGATGTTTCTCATTACTATATCTTGTGATTCTGCGACTGGAATCATGGGCCATTCTGATTCCCTTGGTCTATCAGCAACATTACTGGTGGATACCTACAAATAAAGATCAAATTTAATATATTTAACTAACATAATTTATTTTTTGTTTAAATTAAACAATTTTTTATAGTCTTCGTATGATTTACTAAAATCATTACTATAAATATAAAATTATATTATAAAGGTGAATTTTGAAAAAATAAATAAAACTAATTTACATCTATCTATTCACTTTGACCAAATACCTTTAATGAATTTATTTGAACTTAACAACGGTATGTACTTCAACTAGGGCAGGGAGAACGGGTTTTTCTACGGGTTACCAACCTATTCTATTCTAACCTGAATGGAAAGGTTGAAATTTATTCTATAACGAACTTGATTAAAGTTACTAAACTTTTTATTCTGTACTAGGCAGATTATTTGTTCTGTTTATATCAGCAGTATATCTATTCTGGGGTCTGGCTTCTTTTTCTTTAAATCTAGAGGGAGCTTAATCCTACAGGTAACCAATTAGTATTAACCAAAGAGGAAAGACGAGATTCAATTCATGAGAATCTGGGGTGGGGTGGACAAGCAGATTATTTTGCACATGCGTTACTCATCAACCTTAATAATCTGAAGTTAACATGATAAAATAATTACGGGTTCATGCCCGGTACCAGGGGGCTTTTAACCAACATTAATCACATTCCTCTGGTCCAGGAAAACCCGCATATAACCAAAAAGATGAGGAAGGGGGAAAAAAAAAAAAAAAAAGAACTGCTACTAAATAAATACACAAATAATACTGAATAAATGTTCAAACCAGCACTGCAATACTCAACTTTATTAAGGTCATGAAGCTTTAATAACAACCTCATGTGGCACATTCAATCTTGATAAATTTTGTTTTATAAATAATAACTAATCATTACCTTGCTCTTACTAGTTAACGATGAACCATGATCATTTCTTCCTCGGAGTAATTGCACCGCATGCCTTAATGTTTGAGAAATCGTAGAAAAACATTCTACACTTCCTTTAACACTTCCAGGTAAATTCACTATAAGGCAATTATCTCTAATGCCACTACTAGACCTGAAAAATGAATTCTAATGAAAAATCTACAAGTGATTTTAATACAACCATTTCAATAAGTTCAATAATTTTCCAATCTCTATTCAAGCTTAGATTTTTATAATATAAAAAAAAACTTAAAAAATTAAGTAAATAAATACAACCTGAACAAAGCAGAATTTTTGTTAGTCAGTTTATGAAATGCAAGTATACAGTATACATACATACACTTACAGAGTTTTTAAAAAAGCCTTAATCCTCTCGAATCCCGTAAAATAACTAACCATTTAACATTTTGTCAATTATGGCATTAGAAAAAAAAAGATAAGATAGCACAAATGCAAACCAGAGTTAGATATCTCACAAAACTAGTCTAAAACCTAATCAGTTTAGTATATACTGAAGAATATTGCCTGAATTAACAAGATATTAAATGGTTAGTTTTTTATAGACTTCAGGTTTTGTATTTAAATCTTCTAATAATATCCCAATTGTTATAGTTATTTATTTATTTATTTTTTCTAGTTCTTATTCCTCTTAATTAAATTATTAATCGCTTCATTTAAATCTTTTTAAAAATTAATTTTAATTAACCAAGTAAATAACAACAAAATGATGAAAACCATATCCACATATTAAACAATAAATTTTGAGGAAAGAGGTGTTTCAGGTTGGCAGCAAAAAAAAAACTGAGAATAGTGAAAAACTATTTCACTTTAAGCCAACTTTTCGAACCAACTATGCAGGTCTTCATTAGGGCAAGAACGAACAAGATACTAAAGGATATAGAAGATATACAAAATATTTTCTTCTGTCATAGTTAGAAACGTTGGCTAGAAATAAAATAGTTTTTCACTATTTTGTATTTTTACAACCGTCATCCCGGACCATCTCTTTCCACAATATTATACTATGGCTAACCACTGAGTAATCAATAAACAATTAATACCATTTTGTGGAACAATTTAACCAAATGAAGAAAAACTCTTAATAGTAAAATGCCTAATCTACATTACGTTCAAAAGACTATAAACTTCCATTTGTAAGAACATCATTATGTAAATAAATTTGTAATTATGTTTAAACTTTAGGAAAAGAAAAAAAACTCACCATTTCATTACTCTCTATGTCACCATAACTAATGTATTTCATCTACTACAAATGATTAAACATATGGTCAACTGTCATACTTGTTATAATCCTGATTACTACAGCTATAAAATAGAGAGGCCTTGTCCTTTAAAGTACAGTAAAATCATAGAGTTGACCTTTGACGATGCTATACTGCCGGAGAAGTATAAGAATGAAAGGAAGTGGGACAGCATAGTGCTGGACCTGTGGAGCATTCTCTTCACATAAAATGGTTGGCGACAGTACTCTCCTGAAGTAATTTGACCTTAAATTGACTTAACGTTGTGTTAGAAAACTTTTCCAACTACGTTTTCTAGCAGCGAGTTAGCTTAAAACCTAATGCTGATTGTCCACTGTTAAATTCTTTTCAACTTAAATTTTTATTGTGAACAGGTATAGGAGGATCCTAATAACTTGTTTATTTTTCAGACAACTTATTCATTCTAAAAACTTCAGCTTTTTTAGTTTATGGTTATTAAATAAATAAAAACAATACATTACATGAATTAAGTCACAGAACAACCCATTAAAATTGTATATTCAATTATACGAGCTATTTATACATACATCCCCATACAGCATTTTCTGTAGATAAATTAAAAAATAAAAAACAATTTCTTCTAAATTCATTTAGTTAATGAGGATAAAAGAACTAATGAGAGTGTAGAAAAGTATTCTGTTCCAGAGAACGATGTGTCTTATCAACTTGTCAAGTCTTACCAGATTGTCTAGTTTACTACAATCTAAGGATAAAACAGTGATATAAATAGTGATTAAGTAATAATAGTACGTATAATAACTAACCTTGACAAAACTGCATATGGTGTTTTTGAAATACTTGTTAAAAGCATTGCTAAGGGAAATCCAGGAACTTCCCTTTCAATAACAGCTTTGGTAGCCTCGGGAGTAACATCCCTCGGTGAAAAACCAGTTCCACCAGTAGTTAAAATAATATCTGCTCTTGAACTCCCATTAACTAACTCCAACTTAAAATTTAATAAATGTCCAACAATCAATTTTCAAACCGAATGGTAAAATATTTGTTGTATAAAAAGGACTAATTACCTCAATAATCTTTTGTTCATCAGGAATGCATTTTATCTCAAGGACAATCCCTAACTTCTTTTTTAATATTTCCTTGGCAAGATTAGGCCCACTTTCATCTACAGCTTGGCCACAAGAGCATCTATCACTCACTAAATAAACAAATGACAATACTTAATTCTGAAAATTATTAGTTAAAATTTATATGTTATCATATTAATGAATGGAGAAAAATAAGGAATTTGTAGTTATCAAATACAAATCCGATTTATAGTCAGTGGCATACCAAGATACTTGACCTGGGTCGAATGTATTTTTAGGACTCTTAAAAAATAAACTATAAAAACAATCATTCATAAATTCAGTAATAATTCAATTTTTTTAAAAAAAAAAGCTTGCGGAGTCCCCTTCGTAACAGCTCCTCTTTCTTAATATGCCACTGCAGAAAAAGGACAATGGAAGGTTCTCCAAATTAGGAGTAGAAGTGAGAATGAAGGTACAAGCCTCACTTGAAAAAAACATGAGATAGTAAAAACTTCAATTGGCGCCAGAACTCAGAAACATGATAAAAAGGTTTCGCAATTATTTGCAGAGTTTGGACCCACAGACAGTTTGCTTCTCTATCACAGATATTGACCCATTAGAAATAATCTGTGGATTTGAGATCAATTTACCATCAACAAGGAATAAATGTCAATAAGATAATACAAGGGTTCAGTAACAAAAGTTAGTTAACAATAAAATATTAAAGTAACATCATGGCGATTAATGGAAATTAGGACTGATAAAAGAGTAAATAAACTTTTTGCCTTATAGTAACATTATTTTAGGTAGTTAAACAGAGTTGGAATGATTTAAAAAGTTATTTTATATATTCAATAGGGGAAGATTAAATACTAAGAATGGTCACTTAATCAAAAAGAGCAACTAAATTTAAAATTTATTGAAAGCTAATGTGTTATGATGGATTAGTTTTTAAAAATTCAACTGGATCAATATTAGTAAGTTAAAAATGGTAGAAAAATTAGTAAATTTGAATGTAAGAAATTATCGCCTATTAAACAAATCTTTATATAAAATGTGTCAAAGCTAATGAAGAAGAAATGCATTAAAACTATATTATGTAATACTGTAGGTTAAAAGGATAATTAATCTTAGTAAAAGAACTTTAATTAAGATTCATATGTTATATATGTAAATGATCATTTACCTGTAATGATTATGAACTTAATAGGTTTCTCCATGTTTTTAAATTCAATAAGGAACTGATTTGTCCACTTATTTTTAAATTAAATAACCTTATGTAAACACGATAACACTAGCCGGCAATCAAAGAAACCTTTGTATGATAAAGAAAGATAATACCAAAAGGTTTTAAGAGAATAACATTTACACTTTGTACAATACAGAGAAAATAACTATAAATGGAGGATTTCATAATGTTTTTATTTTTAAAAAATAAATAAATACGTTATTTGACAAACATAATTTGTTCTTAATCTAATTATGATAGATTCGAAGATCAAATCATACTACAAGCGATAAACTCAGTCTGAAATTCTCATAAAAATCTACTAAGTAATTCTGAAAAAAACAAAACAATAAGAATCAGAAAAAGAAAAGGGATAATTACACATATAAAACAATGATAACTTTATTATCAACAATTCTTAGTTAAGTAATTATAAGTTAATTAATAGTAGTAAAATATAAGTAACAATAGTCAACAAATACTGCTTATTGATTATTTTAGTAGTTTAAATACTCCTTCCTTCCTTTCAGGAGCACGCATTTCAGCTGTGAATTAACTAATGTATAAATGATAATGTTGCCGATAAATATCTTTAGATATAATTATGTAGACGCTTCTCTCTATCGTATTCCATTCGTTATATGTTACGAATTCTGCTTCCAGGGTGATATCCGTTTTCTTCTGCATTTTATCTGTTAGGTGTTCTTCCAAGAGCGGGTATTTTAAGATTAAAACAAGCTGAGCCCATTGCTGTTTTCCTCCAGAACACAATATTTGTATAACAGGTAGTTATAATGGTTACTAACTGTGAAAAATAATTTTCGGAGAGGACATAATGTTAGGTTCCCCCCAACAATTTGATATTTTGTATCTCAAAGGTAGTTCAGTTTATAATAATATGCTCAACAGACTCCAAAATACCCTAGCTAAAATATAGAGAATATATACTTCTCCGATCCATAAAGCTTACCTAGAAAGCCACAATGTCCAGTGCGTTATCGAACACTAGTAGTCCAGGTGGAAACATTTTCCTTCTTAAAGTTACTGGAGGATGGATGAGTACATCCTTAAAGTAGCCCCTTTAGAAGTTGTCAGCCATTGTGACATTCATACAGCCATGGACCAGTAGAAACTCACCATCCTTATTCTCTTTGACTTCTCCAAAGCCTTTGACTCAGTAGACCACAAAATTCTCCTAACCAAGCCTAAAAATATTTCCTTCTCAACTAGTACTCTTAATTGGTTCCAATCCTTCCTTTTCGACCGCTCCCAGTATGTTGTAGTCCCCAATAACCCCCCATCAGAATCTTTAGCCTTGTCCAGGGGTGTCCCACAAGGCTCCTCTTTATCTCCCACCCTTTTTTCCATCTACATCAATGACCTTTCATCCTCTATCCTACACTGTCAATACCATCTGTACGCCGACGACGTCCAGATTTACCTCTCCTTCAATCCAGCCGAATCCTCTGGCGCCATCCAAAAATTACAGGAGAATATAAACGCAATATGTGTCTGGACAAATCACAATAGGATTACTCTAAACGCCAATAAGACGAAAGCCATCCTGATCGGCTCTCCCTCACTCCTCAAATCCATACAGATACTCCCCAATCTTTTTCTAAACAACTCACCAATCTCATTCCATACTTCCGTAAAAAACCTTGGTGTAACATTCGATCAAACCCTCTCCTGGAAACCATACATCTCCCAAATTCCCCATCGTACTCTCTGTACCCTGAAACAGTTTAACCGTCTCCGCTATCTCCTTCCATATAAATCCCGTCAACTCCTGGTTTCCTCTCTTGTGTTTTCCCACTTTGACTATGGCTGTCTGGTGTACGGCGGACTCTCGGGAGAATTCGAGGCCAAACTTAAACCTAAAGCGCAATACGTTTTGTTTTCGGAATCTCAAGAGATACCCATATAACCCAGTATTACACCAAGTTGAAGTGGCTCTATTCATCCAACCGCCGTCTGTACTTCCTTGCTAGCTTTCTATACCAAGTCACCAGAACTCAGCGGTCTTCCTATATTTTTCACAGCCTACAATTCAAATATTCCATACAATCCCGTCTCATTAGATCTCGTATCTCCGACCTCTATCCACCTCCCCACCGATCTGCAGCGTTTGACAAATCATTTATAATTTAAGCCGTCTCCTTCTGGAATACCATCCTTCCTGATATGCGACATGTACAATCAGTTTCCTCATTTAAATCTCTCCTTTTTAACCACCTACTCCTTTCACAACCCGATTGATCATAAAATATAGATATGAGAACTTTTAAAGTTCCCACAGAAATGATTTTCTTTACTTATGCTATTTGCCACGTTTGTATTATACATATCAGTATGTTTTTAGTGTAATAGTTCTATTTTTTGTTTTATTATTTTTCCAAAATCTTAATCTTAATAACAATTGTAAATAATTAATTTTATGAATGGCCACACAGGCATTTATTCTGTAACTGTAATTTGTCCTAAAGGAACAATATTCCCAGGACAATAAAAAAGTATTTTCATTTCATTTCATTTCATAGTTTCGTTATTCATTTTCCATAAGTACCCGTCATCTTCTAGTTTCCTCTCTAATTCACCGCACTTTTACTATGGCTGCTTGTTCGGAGGACTTTCTAGTAAGATCTGAATGAGAGTGAAAAAAATAATTAATTGTTTCATAAGATTTATTTTTTGTATTCATAGACGCTCTTACATCTCACTGCTATTCCGAGCTAGGGTTCTTATTTCCAAATACAATAACTACTTGGAGCATATTTCTATTCAAATATTTGAGAACAAACATATGATCTTGATTCTTGAAAGATCATCTACTCCTTTTATTTTTATTTTTTTTATTTTTTAGACATATAATATTCTGTCTCATGCACAATGATTAAATGATGATGATGACTCCTATAAGAAAGAGATTTAACCCTTCCCATATGTTAATCCGTTCTCCTAAGAAATCTTCCTCACAAACCCTCCGCGTACCTACAAGAAAGAAATGTCTATATATGCTGATGTAAACGTATATATTCTCAATATTTGTTATTGTGTTTTTTTTACTTCCATCATTATTAATATACTTGAAACGACCCAAGCCGAAATTGTGAATGATTATATACAAATATACTGTAAGTATATTTACTGAATAACTCTCTGCGTTGATAGAATAAGAATACGTACATGTGAGGTGAACACCGATCTTGTCTTAGACTAGACATGTATTGGGACACGTGCCATTAATTAACCCCCGTCTATAAACGTTGACGCTGGCCACACAAGCATAAACGTTGGGTCGTTTATGTTACAAACGACATATTTTTTGTATCTTGGAAGAGTATGAAACTACCATTATATTATTCTGGTATGCGAATCGCGATGGAACCTGAGGTTAGTTTTAAAACTTCTTTGGAGTTCGTCAGTTACCGCTAAAGACGTAAACAAATTGTCGGGAGTTATGTTTCTATTGCTTTCTTTCAACGAATTAGGAAGCTGTAAAATATGTTTTGTAGGTAATGGTGGGTCATATTTCTTCTTCTTCGTCAATTCTTTGCAAATACTGGGTATCTCTTGAATGAAGTAAAGGTTCAAAGTTCAAAGAAGTATAATAATGAAATAATTGGTCTCATCTATTTCAAATAAATCTTCATCTGTATCACAATTTAACAGCACACCTCTCTATCCATCCCCAATTTCCCACAAGTTGGTCTTGTTGCTGCCTAAATTCCTCCTATTTCTATAGTGGTGAAAATAACTTTTGAACTGCTGAACGCCATTGTAGAAAATGGAAGTCTAAAGCAAAAATCTAAGTTAGAAACATCATTATAAACATTGGGTCTCATCCGACCCAGGTAGGGGTTGAGTGAACTTGAAAGGTGACGCTTACCTCATTGAATGTTAGGTGGTCTAAGCCTTCTTCAGGGCTTACTAAAAGGATACCTAGAGCTCTGTGACATTACTGAAGGGAGAAGACGAAATAGGTGCCTTCAAGTATTAGGCGGGTCGGGTTCAACCCGAATGTTTGTTAATTTGAATATCGATGTTATTTTTCAATAATCTTATTAGATTTAGAGAACCCCTCATAAAATAGTTCACGACGTATAGTTTACTTGTTAGTACTTCTGGATTGTGACAGCAGTAGGGAGTGAAAAATCAACATTTCACATAATCAAACCGCTAATGACCCGTTCGGGTGGATGCGGAATGTAACAATAAATAAAAATAACATTTCACATGTTTTTTTGTACGGCATAATTATTAATTTTACCTAATAAAGAATGGAGATTATGCTTCTAAAGCATAATGGTCATGATAATAAAATATTTAACTAATTTTAGTTGAGATTTGACTTGTTATTGTATTGTGAAATAAATGTGACCGAAATTTCAAAGTTATCCACATAAATAAGTTATAAAATATTTATTTACATGCAGGGGCACACACTTATCTACTAATCGATCTTGCAACTATACTTTGTTAATAATTTGTTTCTCATATGTTGGTAGTTCTGATTTTTTGAATTGACCGCTCTGTTGTAACGTATTTATGAAATAAATATTTTTTATTTTTATTCTTTGGTTGTGATACTTGAATTTTATTCTTATGACAGCTTTTAGTCATTGAACTGAAAATTTTCCAGCTAATGATACCTTCGATGAAATATGTTTTTAATTTTAATTTGATTGTGAATTAGGGTTTTGTCTCCAATTTACTTTGTTTTCTTTAAAATATATATATAGGCGAATTGAATAATTTATTTCATTGAAATGTGTTATAAATCGATTTCAAGTAACGCCTAGACTTTGACCCAAGGTCCTAAGTCCGCAGACTTTCTTGCTGTGACAGATTAACCAATTTTTGCCTAAGTAATGGCTGGGATCAAAAGAAGGACAGATTTCTTTGAGGTAATTTATTTATTTTTAATTAGTGCATCCACACAAACTTCCATTTTATTAGTTATCTTTCCTAGGTGAATGTCACTCCAACATCAAAAAAGAAAAGGGACTCGGATCCTCCACCTTTCTTGGTTCTTGCTCCATTTGCTCTTGTTCCAAAGATTTCCTTCAATAATGTGAAACTACACTCTACTGTCAAAACAATTGTTTACTTCAGGAACCCAGTTGATACTAACATTCAGGTAAATAATATGCCTGATTGTCATTAGGTTAGATTCAATAATCTTTTTTGAAAACAGTTATTTTAAATATTTACCACGTATTATTAGACCATTCGTTAATTCTTAAGTGATATTTCCTAATATGAATTATCAGTTTTATATTTTTAATGTTGATTTATTGGCCTTTTAATAAGATTTCAGTTTATTTTTATGTTCAACAGATAGCTCTAGAAGTGCATGAGGATTTGCTAAATATCGGGTTGCAATTGAGTGCCTATTCATTCAATATTCCTGGGAATTCAACTGATTCTCTTGAATTAATCTGGACACCATCATCTGTAGTTCAATTGAGAGGAAAAATATGTTTAAAACATTTGAATGGTGATAAAAAATTCTCTTATATAAGTGTAGCTTGTTCTTCTGTTGCTCCACAATCTAAAAAGGTAAATATTAACATATTTTAATTAAGATAACCTTGCTTAAGTTAAAGAAATATGCATACTAAAACTTTTGTTGAAGATATATGAGATTGGTGTATTTGAGTAGTGTCACATTTGGATGACAGTGGCCCAGGGTAATATTGATCACACTTGCAAGCTTTCTGAGTGTAATTGTCTCTTGACAGATTAAGTTTGATTATATTTCAAGCTAATCAGATTGGCGGAATTGGCCCTGACACATAAATTCAATTTAACTAATTGAAGTAACCAAATTTAAGAAATATAGGATATTTTGATTTATAGACAAGATATATTTAAAGTTGCTGTTATAAATCTTTCAGAAGTAAACTACACCTAATATTGGAGAGTAAAATTTAATTTGAAACTGTATACAAAAATATTTATTCAACGTTATGTTCTTAAAACAATTCAATATTCCATTAGTACCAAATAAGTTAGAGGACTATACTGCTGCAGATATTGATAGATCAGAGTTTAATTAAATAGTACCTAATTATATTAACGAGTTTATTGTGATCAAATAATATATTAGGATTTTAGTAACAATTATTATATGAAGTTAAACAGACTTGTAATGTTTTTTATTTCACACAAATCAATAAAAATAAATGAAAATAATGAGTGTTTTCTTTAATCTTGATAATTATTTGTATCTATATTTAATGGCTCATTATTAAGTAGTTCGTTACTATCTAACTTTTCATGTTTTCTCAATTTAAGCACTATTATTTTAATTAGATTTCTATTCTTATAGTTATAATTTACAAAATTGTTGGGCTTAACGTTCATGATTAAAATATATCCTAAAGCACAGGTCCGTCCAATATGTTATGGCCAGGTTCCTTGAATGTGCAGTTCATAATTGTTTGATATTAATGCATCTCTGGTTCAACTAATATTTATTTCACAGTGGTCTTGAGAAATGAATCTTGAACTCCTTCTCCTGTTAGTACTAGGCGGCAACCTCTAGACAGCCATTCAGTGTTGACCAAAAGGACCTGAAGGCGCTAGTTAAAAGTTTTAATAGTCTCCCCCCCTCTCTATAACTATTTTTACTCTTATCTGTAAAATATTGCAATTATATAGCTTTATTAATAAATTTATTGATATTTGCATGAATTTCCTTTTTATGTCTGCATATGAACTTCACATTAATTTCAGTACATTTTTAATACATTGCTCAAATATAAATTCCTTATAGAAATAGAAATTTAAGCTTTATTCTGGGAAATCTTTATTTTTTCTTCATCCCAGTGAGGAATCTTTTCCAATTCATAAAAAATAGGAACAAAATAAATAAAAAATAATTATGCATAGTAAAAAACTAAAACCTTGCTACATAATAAAAATTAGCCTGTGTCTGATTGGATGGTGAAGAGGAATTGGAATTAGAGGGTTTTAAATGAATATAAGAATGGTGCGAGGCGGATTTTTGTGGGTTTCCAGAAAATGGTGGGCAGACAATAAAGGAGTGTTGAAATAAGGCAGATCTATGGAAAGGAATATATAGGTCAAAAGGACGAGATCTTGTACAAATGGAGTGGATAGTTGATTTATATTGAAGGATATTATATACATAAGACGGACAATGATAATTGATTATTTGGTAAAGGAATGTGCCTAGGAAGTATTGTCTTCTGAAGGAGGGGAAGAGTCACCCTAACTCATTATAGTAGTGGGAAACACGGGAACGTCTCGGAGCTCCATTGACAAATCTTAAGCTATTCATAATTCTTTTTAGTCTGTCTTCAAGTTTCACCGAGAGGCCCCCTTTCACCATGCAGGCGTAGTCAAGGTGGGGAAAATGAGGGAGGATACTAGGGGTGTACGTGTGATATGGGTAGGAGATGATGGAAGTGATAGGATAGTTTAGGGGTACAAATTGACAGTTAAGAGGTGTGGGCAATATGGTGATTCCAGGAGAAAGTTTGGTGAACTGAACTGAGAAGCTGAAAGATGGTCAGATTATGTTCAGAATAGCAGTGTTGGTATTGAATTTGAGGGGGAGTTTGGAACCAATGACAACGGCCTGAGTTTTATCAACATTTAATTTTAATCCATTGTAATACATAACATTTAATATTGCCCATATGATTTTAGTTTAATTGTAATCATTTTTCATTTTTAGGTCCCTTCTAAACGGCTTACAAATAAGAAAAACAATATAATAAGTAAAAAATCTAATAATGGCGACATTACTAAGCTGAAATCGGTGAGGTTTGCTGATAAATTTCCTGAATGCCTCTCTACCAATTCACTCAGAAGAGAAACTTATGAAGTCAAAGAACCTAAGCTTTGTTTTCCGAGTGCGATTGCAGATGCTAAACCAAGACATACTGACTATTTAATAAATGCTTCATTTAGTTCCTTAAAAGAGGATGAATTGGAACATCATTTTCAAAACTCAAAAACAGTTCAAACCTCTAGCCCTAAGTCTAAAGTTCAAGAAAAAAGAACAAACAGAGAACCTCTAAAAGAGTTCAATCTAAATATTCATTTAGGCGAATTCCAAAGAGAAGAATTTAAAATGGATAGAATTGATGGGGATATTTCTATCGATTTATCTCATTTAAGCTTCGATAGAGATAGCTTAGATTCTCCAATACAGTTGTCAGGTAATTCAGCATTGTTTGAAATCTCCCCATTCAAAGTAAGATCGTTTGATTCCAAAATAAAATTAGAGAATCGCTTTGATGAGACATTCGAAGACAGAAAACCTATAATTAATTTATCTATCAATTCAGAACCGATAATGAGAACCAACAAACATGAAGGAACATTTTCCATTATATCTCTTTGTTCAGATTCTTCTTTTGAAAGATCACATAGCTCTACTCTTCAACCGGCAGAAGACGCATCAAAGCCTACCCAGCCATCTTTGTGTTTTGAGATCTCTCCCTTAAAGCCTATCTTGAAAAAGAGTATCAGTTCCATATGTGCCCAGAAAGAAGTCAATACTGGAGCATTAAATGTAAACAAGAAAGTAGAAAAACAAAAGAGCCCCAAAAGGACAGATAATAAAGGTATTTATTTATTTTTTTATTATGGAGACAAAGTTGACTGTTGACGAAATAATGATGATGGTTAAGGTTTGGGTATCAGTAGAAGTATGTCAATATGTGCTTTATTACATATCCCATCTACAATTATCATCTCCTTTTTTAATATTTATAAAACCTGATTTATTTATCATACAGAGTGTTTCAGGGTTACGTGACCAAACTCCAAAAATTAACAAATTTCTTCTGTAGGTAGTCCACAAACGTTTTGTATAGCAGATATTCACACCTAAAGATTTTCGTTCTTATGAATTATTATGTTACATGAAATAAATAAAACCTATTTATTTGTTCCAACTACTTTATTAATCAAGCGATCAATTAAATTCATATTAAATGTTGTTCAAAGTGATTACCTTGAGCATTAAGACAGGCTCGGCATCTTTCTTCAACAGCAGTAGTGGCAGAACGGCACTGGATATGTGTTATTTTTTCACAAGATTTAATTATCCTTCTTCGTAAGGAATTAAGGTCATTGACTGGACTTGCTTAGACTTTTTGTCATGTCACCACAAACAAAAAAATCTAGTGGTGTCAGGTCTGGAGAGTGTGCAAGTCAATCCATTGATTGGGATAATTAGCATTTAGCTATTGCCGTGGATCTACCTTCACTTTCAACAACATTTAATGTTTAAGTTTAATTAATAAAGTAGTTGGAACAAATAAATAAGTTGTATTTACTTAATATAATGTAAATAATCCACAATAATGAAAATCTTTAGGTGTGAATATCTCCTAAACAAAATTTTTGTGGATAGGAATTTTAGGAAAACCTTCATAGGAATTTTTTTCTTGTTTTGAGGTCCTTAATTCATATTTTCAGTTTGGCCACTTAACGCTGAAACACTCCGTATAATTAAAAATCTCTGTACAACTGCAATGCTTCTGCATTAAAATAAATTAATGAATAATGTGTCTCCCCTAAATTATCAAAATAAACTACTATTATTCAACAATGTCAATTTAATTTGCTTAGTTATTATTTTGTTTTTTGTTTTTCTATAGGTGTTCTGTATGAGGGTCCACACAAAGCTTTTTATGATGAACCAGATTATTTATTACACCCTTATGGAATGACAGCTATTAAAGATCCTTTTTCCAAGTACGTGTTAGTTTCTTAAATAATTTTCAATAAGTTCTGTTCAACTTTAGTATGTTGGTGAATGATTCTAAAAGTTACCCTTAATATATTTATATATAAAACCAACTCTATTAAAAAATCAAACTAAAAACTTTTAATAATTATATAATGGATAATAAGGATTATGTAATCTTCATACAATTTTGTGCTTATTTGCGGTATATTGTTGGAATTTGATTAAATATGTTACTAGATGCTTACGGTTCTAGAAACATTTTAATGCATATTAGTTGCGTTATTGTTTTTATTAATTATTGAAAATAAAGTTGGTAGAAGAGTTTTAAAATTTGGTAGCTTATCGAAATATTGATTGTATATACTTATAATCAGAAACAAATGTGAAGAATCAGTTAATTTATCTGAATATTTATACCTGCAGATTAAAATACTCAAAACTTCTTTGCATTTGGTTAAATACTTTAAAATTTAAGTAAGGTTACCATTATTTTATTTATTGGCCCATTATGTGATACACCCAAAATAACAAGGTATGAGAGCTTGGTGATATCACTTCTGCACATTTTATCTCATGAAGTTGAATATCCTTGTTCCAGCAATCGTGAAGACAAGTGGGTTGTTACCACAATGGCACATTTTCCAACATCATAAACCATTTTAGCATTATTAGTGTAATCTGTTGTACTAGTATATATCAGTTATTTGTAAGCACTTTTGATATTGATGCTTCCTATTTATAATTATTATTTTTTGGATGAATATTTGCATTTTAGTCATGTATTTTATTAATTAAAAAAAAATTGATAATATTTATTAATCTTCTGCTAATGTGTTATGGAAAAATATTTAATTCTCCTGATGTAAATAAATCAGTCCTTTACATGAAGCTGTACACATATACTTTTATACTTGGTTAAATAAGAGAAATTTTATTGTTGAAAATAATTAGTTGGTTTTTTTTTTTTTTTTAGGCATTCTATACATTGCCGAGATTGGTTAGAGAAAGTTGAACTGGAGCTAATCAAGTGGCTAAATTCTCTTTTAAGACCTCCTAAAGAACTTGGAAGTATTGTTGAAGGTATATTTTTCACCTTCAAGTCTGAAGGTTCTAAAAATTATGATGGTTGAGACTTGATAGATTTATTCCATTTTCAATAAGCAAATAAAAATTGTTCTTAGAGTCATTTCCAAATTCTTCATTTTGAATGTTATTTTCTCAGTAACATGGTTTATAACTCAGTATCAATTAGTGCTATTGAAAATGAAAATTTAAACTAAATCATTACGAAGCCCATTACATTCTCCATCTGTATGTTTTGATTATAGTTTGAAATTTCATTTCTTAAAATTTAATCATAGAAAAATTTCATAGAGGTACTCATGTTGAATACTGTCTTAATTTCCTCCTCTTAATATATTCTCTTAGTCCACAGGAATGTAGTGAAAATGGGAATAAATAGATAAAATTATTACGAGGAATAAATATGATCTCTTAATGTAAGGTATAATTGAAATGAATGAGGTTTAATTTTTGACGATGATTATTAAGGATGTGATGTTTAAGTGGGATTTGACATTAGGGGCAGAATAATTGATTATGTTTCAATATTTCAAAAAAACTTATACATAAGTAATGACGTAATATCAGGGTTTTAATGACTTTTTAATGGATTGAAACATAATGTAAAATGTCTGTGATTCTTGCTTTAATGCGACTTAAGATTATGAGAATAATAATGTCATGATTTAATAATTTGTTTTCCATACTCCAGGAGTTGATGTTATGAAGCTATGGGACCAGTCAACAGCAAGCTCATTAAAGTTAGCCCCATCGCGTGAAACTGCCTGTAAAGAATACGTGCTGTCTGATGGGAGTCATATGATAGCCTTAAGAAAAGCTGCCTCTGCTTTTGCCCAGTCAGAACATATGAAGAAGACAATTTATAATATCCGAGCGAAGATCCAGAGTGGATTTTTAAGTGTGAAAGATAATATAAGCTTACACCATAACCAAGGTCTGTTAACAACAATGCTCAGTTACTAAATAGCTATTAAAAATAAATTAAAATATTAAAAACATTAATCTATACCTCTACCCAAGACCAGTGTAGTTTTTATTAGAATTTTTCACAAACAATTTTGAGTGTGCATACCAACCTACTCCTTTGAATTATTCAGCAATTTTTCTAAAACTACCAAATAACCACCTCATAAAAGTTAATTTATTTATTTTTTTGTTGTGATTTTCAATGTCTAGGAGCAATTTTAATTTTTACTTTCATTTACCTCTATATGTAATATATTGTAACATCTCTCTTATATTTTAAACTACACATAACATAACCTCACAAGAACACTTTACACTGTTGAGATACTTCCTAAATAAATAAGAGGTAGTTAAATAAAAAAAATATAAGAATATTAATATATTAAACTAAACTTTATAATTATTTTATCTCAAGGTACGGGTTACTGATAATCAGATCAAAACACTCAGACAGACTAACATTAACTACACTAAACAGTGTTTGATTTTAAAATAAAGTCAGATATGGATTGGCAAGCTATCCTTTTTTCTATATGTACTGTTTCTTTCTTTGTTGCACTAAATTCATTTGTCTTCTACTCAACTCTAACTCCTGGGGATATCCTCTCTCTTGTGATTCCAAACAACTAGTCTCTCTGCCAAACAACTTGCAAGATGGTAATACTATTTTGGGTTTTACCTACTGGAGCCAGGATCTCTGATCCCATCCTCTCTTCACCACAGCCAAACACCAACTCTTTGCCAAAACAAAAATCCTTTGCGTCTCCTCTCCTCTTTGGGATTTTCCTTTCTGGGGAAACTACAGAGCAGCCAATTTCTTTTCCTTGAACTAGTGAAATATTTTTTAAATTTAAACATCCACTGACAGCAGAACTAGATTAGCTTGCCTTTTAACAGTTCATTATTAATTTACTAAACCATTTTTAACACTTTCAATTAAAGTGTATATTACAATATAGTAAGAGGAAAGTATTACAATCGTAAAACTTTTTGAATCTGATTTTTCAATGGAAAAATACACGTTTTAAGGTCTCCTAAGTCAAATTAACCAAGTCTTGTAAAATGGTCTCTGTGTGTATGTATCTATTTCATAAAGGAAAAGTCATATGCAACTGAAATTGTGAAATTTAAGGTTTTTATATATCTGGGATATTACACCAACTTTTTGATCAGAATCGGCTAACCGGAAGTGCCACTTATTGATTTTACACTCAAAAACACGTATTTTTTCGGATTTAACCTGATTTATCAATATACCATCATTTTCAATTTACTTCCCTATGGTTTTAATTTGACTTCCCTATATATGAAAATACCTTCTCTAAGGTTGGTAAGTGAAAGTTGTGTGATAAGCACACTGTACCAGATTTTTATATTTACTTTGATTTGAACTAATTTCTTTCATTCTAAGCCATCTAGATTAAAAGACCTGAAAAGTTGTATTCTATCTTGAAATTTTTGTTTTCATACTTTTTTTTATATCTAAAACTTGAAAATTTTAATTAAGAAAATACATTCTTGGTTAAGTATTATCAATCCATAAAATGATAAGGATAAACATCAACTTTATTTTTGACCTAAAACTAAAAAATATGGTAATGTAAGAAAACAAAATCTAGTGTGGTTCACGCATCACACAACTTTCATTTACCACTCTAACTTGAGTAGTAATAGGTGTTTTCATATGTATGGAGGTCAAAATTATAGACAATTCACTCACTTAAGATAATTAATTACCATACAAAACATTAAAAATTAAAAATTATTAATAGGGTCAATAAAAATAAAAAAGATGAATGAAAATAAATAATTGCTTACAACTAGATAAATTTTAAAATATGTTCAAATTAATAAGATGCATAAGTGATTCTTTAGTAAAAATTCTGAGCTTCATCCAAGACGTCTACCATGATACACGTTTACAAAAAAGAGTTAATATAAGTACAGCCTCAACATTTCACTTGAAAATTATGTCTAAGTGAAACTAATCTGAAGAGTTAAATACAGTCGTCGACAAACATGAATATTTTAACACATATTTGTCCAGTAATTTTTTGCACCACCATTCACAAAATGCCGCCATCTCTTTATCTCTGTTTGGTAAAAATTAGAATTTAATTTATTTAGAATCAAAAGAACAAGAATAAATTCAATTTAGTTCAGAGATAAACAAATTTACAGGCGCTGGTGACCTTGAAGTTTTACGCCTTAAAGCCCCAAAAACAAATGAGAATCGATTATTTTCTGTGATATACAAATGAAGATTTTTTGTCATTTTGCTCTGTTGGTGATTGTGAAATGATGAATTGTGTAAAATCTTTTATATAAGTGGCACTTTTCTATAACATCCCAGGTATATAAAAACCTTAAATACCTAATTTCAGTTTTATACAACTTTTTGTTTCGAGCTAGTGTTCACATACACAGTTGATTATTTGGTTTTCAAGACTTGATTATTTGGACTCAAAGGACCTCAAAACGTGTATTTATTATGTAAATTCATATTAGAAAATTTTCATGATCGTAATCCTTTTTCTTACTATATATTTCATATATAGGTAAGTAAAAATTAAAAGCTTAGAGGTAAATACTAATAACTCATAAAATGATAGAAATTAGCTTAAAAAATGAAAAGAAGTAAACAAATATTTATAATAAATCTTAGAAATAAAAAATGAAAAAAAAAATATAATAGAAGTAATTTTGACGAGTGGCCACAGCTAACAAAAAGAAAGCTTGATGTCTCAGGTAGAGTTTTTAAAATAATTATTTCTTTTATATTCCTTTTTTCTAATCCCTTTTTGAAGTATAAATATTTATTTTATAATTATATGCATTTTTCTATGTTCTCGTTTTAATATTTCTCTATCCTTCCAGGTGCTAGGGTACGCCTTGTTCAGATGATTATGTACTATAACCCTCTCTGGTTAAGAATTGCTCTTGAAGTTATTTATGAAGAAGTTATACCCTTATATGAAAATAACATCCATCGTGGATTAGTCTACTTTCTTAAACAAAATTTACTTTCTAGTCAATATATCATTGAGAAGAATAAATTTCCAAAATCAACTCATCTAAAGCCAGAGTTTGCCGTAAGTATATTTTATCTTACTTTTTAAAGAATTTTATTTTTTTATTACGATTGTTACACTGTTAATTTGCGAGTTGCTGAAATACCTAATGTTACAATAATTGTTTTTGTGAACAATCCTTTTTCTTACATTAACAATTAAGAATTTACAAAAATTTACTTATTGTTTTCTTACAAATTTACAATACTTAATTTTTGGTATCATCATCATAGCTGGCGAGACAACCCATCATTGAGTCTGGGCCGCCACCAAAAGACATCTCCAGTTAATTTTTACTTTAATTGTTGAATTCTAATAAGATCCTGAAGAGGTCACCTCAATTTCTTTCTGTTTGCATTTAAATGAAACCCAATTTCTGATTATTTTATCTTTTTTTGTCTCAAAAGATTGATAACTGTGGCATTGAAAAAAAATTAAAAAATCATTAGTTTTCTTCATTCTTTATTAAACCAGATAAACTTGAATTGTTTAAGTTGAACCAACAGCATGTGCTATTGGTAGATATGGGTTCTCCTCAGTTTATTTATGCCCAGCAGCCTTGAATTATTTGAAGACAGGAAATTTAGTGGATGTATGATCGGGAATTAAATTTAAAAATCAGCGAGTTATTGGAAATTATTAGATTTTAATCCAATAATTCCATTTTTCCATTAGTTCTTGGCAACAAGTATATAAAATATTGAGAAAAGAGGCTTGATGAAGTCGTTCCCCTTACAAATAAAAATAAGTTCATGCTCCACCGTAATTTGGTAAATGAAAATATTTTTCAATTAATCAGACTAAAAACTAATGGAATCAAAGAAAATTTAAGGTCAGTGCATAAGGATAGAAAACTATATTTATATTTCCCTTAGGATTTTTTAGTATCTACATGCCAGACTAATGTACTTATTTTTTGAACTCTAATATTATTCTAAGGGGACTTCAGTCCCAGAATAAAATTATTTTTCATTTCATTTCAATCGTTGTCAGTAACTGTGCCTGGCCAGAGAAAGTAGTAGGCTTAAAAACGATTCACCAATGCAGCTTTTAAATTCCTTCTAAATTTCTGGATTATCTGTTAAGCATTGAGGCTGAGTTCATTTTATTCTATTAGGTACTTTTTTTCACTTTATGATTTCATTTCTTCGGTTGCTTTTTTTTTTTTTTAACTTTTAAAATTAACCATTTCATATCATTTACTAACTTACGTCAGAGTATGAGCTCATTTTATTGTCTCTCTTTTGTTTAATTTCTAACTAACCAATACCTCTATCTGAAACTTTTCCCCAAATATGTTATGGTCATTTGAAATTATATAAAATAAATTAAGAGATATTAAAAAAAAAATAAATATATATATATATATATATATATATATATATATATATATATATATATATATATATATATATGTGTGTGTAAAATAAGTTTTTCTGAATTCTGTCTATGGTTAAATTTATTGTTTTTTGAAATTATTGATTTGTTATGTAATTTCTGGTTTTGTTTTTTTATTATTAGAAATGAGTTGACCTCTCTTAAGAAGTTAGGTAATAATATTTATTTGTCAAATAAATGTACAATCTGTGTTATTATTCATTCATCATTTTGATCTGGTCACTGAAGATGACAAAATATGGAATTTTTATTTTAAATTCTTTCCAATAATTTTATAAAAAGAGTCTTTACTTTTACTGTTTTCAGCTCTGAGATCCTTCAATATTTTGGTGCTATATTACTAGACATTTGGATAATTCTCAATTGTTTGATCTCACACCTAATAAACTCAATCTGTGCCGATAAGTTAGAGCTGCTAAGAAAGTGATAGATTTGGGTGTATTGGTGCGTCCTCAGAGCAATATCCAATATCTTTATATCTTGGGTTCCTAATGGTCATCCATTCATGTACGCTTGTAAAACTGTACATAATCACTTGAATTTTGACAATACAGGTGTCTAGATTATAGGGTAATAGGTTGTTTCTCTGCCCCTCTCTCCACGATAATTCTTGCATACAATTAAATGTTTATAAAAATAATATTAGTTATAATACGATCAGTAGATGTTGAAGCAATTAACTTAAGAGGGATTCATCTGTGCAGAACTGAGAGATAACACCCAAATCTTGTGAAATATGCCATCTTGAATTTATTAAAAACATTTTGATTTGCTTTACATTTTTTCAATTGTATGTTCTGAAAGAGTTTCCTAATTTTAAAAACAACAATTTTGCATTCAATATATTAATTTTTAATTTATTACTTGCTCTAAGCAGATACAATTTAAAAAAAAAAAACTTTTGATACAAAATAATTAAAATTTTCTTTTTCAGACTGAAATGAATAATTTTGTGGTGTTGAAGTTTCTTACTCTAGTTTATTTCCTAGATCATGCAAAAAGGAAACGGCTTGTACCTTATGATCCATGTCTGTTCTGCAAAAATTCACCTATCAAGGTCAACTATTATTTTGTTATATATTTTCTTTACATTTAAAAAAATATATTGATATTTTGTGGTTAAAAAGTTAGTTGCGGGTTACAATCATACTGAGAAACTCAAAAAGGAAAAAACAATTTTTATTTGTGCCGATGTTTCGCCTTTAAGTTTCAGGTCTTCGTGAAGGCTGTGGAAAAACAAGGTTACAAACCAACAAAAATTATTATGAGTCTATTAAAACAAATGAGAACAAAATATATGTTATCTGCTAATAAATACGTTTAAAGAATAATTATTTATTAGTAGATTACATATATTTGATTTTTAATGGGTTTACAATAAATTTTATTTGGTTATTATCTTGTCTTTCCTCATTTCTGAAATTTAAGTATAAAATAAGATAAAAATAAATATTTAAAGTTTTTATTTGTTCCTTACAATTACTGTAACCTTCAATTAACTTCCCAACCTTATTAACCAAAGTAAATTATTTCTCTACCATTGTGTGTATTTTATATGATACTCATTTATGTTTTATAATATTGATTTAATAATTAAAAAATAGACAAAAATAAAATAGTTTATACTATTCAAAATTATTTTTGATTAATAATTTGCTTTTTTACCTTTGCAAATTTTCTTTTAATTCCAGTTATTAGCAATTTATCTTCCATGTAAACCTTTAAAGTTATGTTAAGTAAAATTACAGATTTTTTTCTTTTTTCTTTTATAATTCATTCATTTACAGGACAGTGAAGGTATGCTGAATGAATTCATCAAGGATTTTCTAAAGTGTGTTGGTCATTTTAAGAAAACTTTAAAAGCGATAGGATATCAGTTAGAGTATCGTCAAACGTACTTAGACGAGTTTGATTATGGTTTATCTACGCATTTGGATTTAAGGGATGGAGTTAGACTTACTCGTACCATGGAAATCATTCTGAAGGATCCATCATACTCGCAGAAATTATGGACACCTGCAGTATCTCGCATACAAAAAATCCATAATGTTCAAGTCGCTCTTTCAGCCTTAGCAAATAATGGTTATACAATCAATGAAGACATCATTGCTACGGATATTGTTAATGGCCATAGGGAAAAAATATATTCCTTAATTTGGCAAATATTGCACAAATTCTTAGCTCCTAGGTATCAATCAGCTGCTGTAAAAATTCAGATTTGGTGGAGGAGGTACTATGCCAAAATCCGTGTAAAGAAAGAAGCTGCGATAAAAATACAAAGATGGTATAGGAAACAGGTAAAAAGAATTGAGTTAAAAAAGAAAGAAAAGGCGGCAAATATAATTTATAAGTGGTACAGGAATCACCTACAAAGGAGATACTATGAACGCAACTTCAAGGTGATGAAGAATGCTGTTAGCATCATAGAAAAGTGGTATAAGAATATTAAATTATGTGAGAAGGATAGGAAAACCTTTGTATTATTTAGAGCATCTGTGGTTAAAATTCAGCGTTGGTATCGAGCAGTCGTTCTTGGAAGAGATGAGCGAAAGAAGTTTATTCTTTTTAGATATTCAGTTATTAAAATTCAATTGGCCTATCGTAGTTATAGAGAAATGAAGCTGTGCAGAGATTATTTTCTTAAAAAGAAGTCTGCTGCACTTAAAATTCAAACATGGTATAGATCTGTATTATTGGGTAGGAATCTTCAAACTGCATACTTAGTGCAAAAGAAGGCTGCTATAACTATACAAACTTGGTGGCGAAAACTTAAAGATAGGCGTGAATTTCTTAAAAAGATAAAAGCTGCTGTTATTATTCAAAAATGGTATCGATCTACTCATAAAAAGAAGTTGGATGAAGAAGCCCTACGAATAAACAAAGCTGCTGCTCTTATTCAGGTATTTCATCTTCCAATATATTTTAATCATTGTATGAATAGTTCATGTTATTTTATCTAATAATTGATTTTTGGTTAACTGTACTTATTTTTAAAAAAGTAAAAATGTATTCATTTAGTTCATTAATTTAATTATGTAATTCATTTAATCACATATTTAGGCACTCAAATCTATTATTTTTTTCTTTCTAAAAGCTTCTTCCGTTAAGTCTGAATTAATAGTCCCCTGGCAGTGTATTAATAGAAATGAACCTGAGCAATATTGCTTGCCTATCAAAGCTGCGGAAATATGATCGACCACTCGGAGTCCATATTGGACTGTGGAGTGCTGTGAATGAAATCCGAACTGATGGGAAGGAAGATTTTGGGATTTCATAAAGGGTAGAATTCATTTCAGGAGATTTTTCCAAAGATTTTTGAAAGGGTTGGAAGTTGGCTATTGGTCTGTAGGATGTAGAGGTGTTGGGAGGTTTGCCTGGTTTTGGAAATAGGATAATAGATGAATGTTTCCTCAAAAGAGGAAAGTGGTTGGTTCTTAGGATGGTATTGTATAAGTCAGTGAGAAATATAACAGCTTTAGTAGGAAGTTGTCGGAGGATTTGAGAGGTAACGAGGTTGTATCCAGGATATTTACGGGGAGAAAGTTTTTGTATGTGATATATGACCTCAGAAGGATAAACTGCTTTAGGGGTTAAGGAAAGTGGAATGGGCGATGTAAGAAATTCTTCTACTGTTGTGGTGTGGGTAGGGTTGGATTCCGGATAAGAGATGAATGTTAGGTTATAGGAGAGGTAGGTGTCTGGCGAATTCCTCAGCTTTGTCTTCATCAGCAGCTGCCATGGAGCCATCATGTCTACAGAGGGAATTTTTTTTTTTTTTTTTTTTTTTTTTATTGAATAATAATACAATCAGCCAGTTCTCATTCATACAGTATATACAAGTAATACAGAAGTAACTAAATAATACTTATAAAAAAAAAAGTAAATCAATAGGAAAAAAAAAATAAATAAACAAACAAAATAAAATAACTTCTAAGCACATTCATACCTATATACAATATATACATTCGCCCAGGAATCTCCGAGCCAGGCTTTTCTCCCCACATGTGGAAAGCAAAGCAGGACTCCAGAGATTCCAGTGCCACTTTTCCAGCCGCATCACTAGTATTAAAAGCCAGTGGAGGCTGAAGGAGGGCACTAGAGCCACAGATGCTCAGGACTTGAGTGGAGAAGCTGGCCATTGCCAGGACTCCAGAAGTATATTTACAATAGATCTCGCGGCCACTGCCGTTTTAACCTTCGAGGGGGATTGTAGGGATGGTGGGAGCTAGAGGATTTGGATGATGGATAAGGTTCTGGTGAAAGTTTGAGAATCTGGATGGGATGATGTCGAGGACAAATGGGATGTTAAGGTCATGGTGTAGGGTCTTATTTGTGACATAATATGGGGCATTGGCTATTGTTCTAAGTACTTTGGACTGGAAGGATTGGATGCGTTTGATATTCGAATGTTTAGCAGTTCCCCACAGTTCAAGTCCGTAGGTCCAGATAGGTTTCAGTATTGTCTTGTAGATTAAAAGTTTATTTTCAATCGAAAGATGAGATGTCCTGCTTAGTAGTCTATATAGCTGGCCATATCGTTGGTTAAGTTCTTGTCTTTTAAGTCTCGTATGTGGGTTCCAAGTTAGTCTTTTGTCTAAAAGGAAGCCAAGGTAACGGACTGTATCTGAGTAGGGAAGTGGTATTGAATTGAAAAGGATTGTGGGACAGGATCTGCGTCGCAGGGTGAAAGTAATATGTTTGCATTTTGCTTCATTGATTTTGATGCGCCAGTTGTTGCACCACTGCTCAATCAAGGAGAGGTGAGATTGTAGATTTTGAGATGCTATTTGAGGATCTGAGTGAGAGGATAAAATGGCAGTATCATCAGCAAATGTAGCTAGGAAGGTATCGGGATTTGAAGGGATATCGGCAGTGAAAAGGATGTAGAGAACTGGACCCAAAACACTGCCTTGTGGAACACCAGCCTCAACTGGATAGTAAGTACAGAGGGAATTAGAAATATGATGGGATTTCAGGATTTTATTGGTAATCTTCCATATAAAATTGTCATGAACAAAGAGAGAAGTAAGGTATGAGTTGAAGGATTGGGATCTGAAGATAACCCATTCCTGCTTTAATCGTTTACTGTAATAATTATAAGAGCGGCGATCGGTGGGGTGTCTTGAACGTTGCCGTAATACTATGGTATGGTGTTTGAATTAGGTCTATCAGGTTAAATAAGTTTAAGTCTATAATTGAAAAATATTTATGTAGTTACTATATAATATTGCTATTTTAGGCTTGGTGGCATGGTTATATAACAAGAAAGAGAATGAAAAAATTCCTGGAAGAAAAGTTGAAAAAGACTATTCAGAAAAATAAAAAGCAAAAAAAGGGTATTCCTTTGAAACAGCTGTTTACAAATGCTGTAGGTTTCGTCTGCCATAGTGGTAGAGATTTGGGAAACCTCGTTGTCGCTTATAATGATATAGGTAATAATAGTTTTAAGGAAGCTACATAATTTGTAAAATATTGGTGATAGTAATATTCTATTAATGGCCACAATCATCTGGCAAACTGAGAGTGAACTCGTGCATTACTTAATTTGAACTAACATTTCCTTCCTAGTAAGCTTAAAAGGGTAGGCTATGCACAAAATTAATACATTAATGGATCCCCATTTTTTTGGTAATTATTTCTACAAATTTTTATGTTTTACCTAAATTCAAAGAGGCATAACAAATATTGTTCACCTGTCTGTTAGGTCAATTGAATCTTAGATAAAAAGTCTTTTCGCCTCTTGCGGACTCATTTCCATGTTCTCGTTAGCAAGCTTTTCTCCTCTCCCCCCCTCCCCTTAACTAACCTTTTATTTAATTTAATTTATTTTTTTAGGTAAGCTTAGCTTATCTAATAAAAATAAAGAAAAATTAAATCAAAGCACAACTTTCTGAATTTTAAGTTAGTAAATTTATTCTCATACATTTATATTATTTCCTTGGATCAACAGTATTTTAATCTGCTGTCCAACTATTCAGTATCTCATATTTTTTAACGATTCATCAATGGTTTTATAAAATGTCCCCTTAACCTACTTAAGGATCTCGTTTTCCTTAGCTATTAAACCATTTTTGATGAAACTTTTAATCAAAAATTTGTATCCAGTGTATAGATGACTCGTATACAGGATCTACGAGATTAAGAAGGGCCGATTCTACATCATAATTGAGACAAAGCCCTTAGTAATTACTGCAATATAATTTTTATACTAAACTAAACTTAATTTATTTATTTTTTTACACTAAATTCCTTAAGTCTCTTCCAACAATGATCTTTTCTGAACTCTGTTGTTAACATTACAAGGGATGAAAGTTTTAGCGGTTACAACAACAAAAACAAGTCATTGCTAGAACAGTATGGGTTATCTGTATAATTTTGAACTTTTGGATAGGTATAAAAAGAAAAAAAAAATGGAAGAAGTTATTTACAATAAATAAATGTTATTACTTTCCTCTTCTCTGATGCAAACTTAGCATGATTTGTATGCATTACATTACAAATTGATAAGATGTTTTCTATCAGCTCTACACACCCTCTCTGATGGTATAATAGATTTTGTAAGAGATAAAAGGATTTTAGTGTACAAAAATCCAAAATTTTGAAAAAATAATTACATTTACAATACCATTAAAAAGAACTATATGATTGTCAAAGGACTTTTTGTCACAGTTGTGTAGAATTGGCACTTGAAATTTACTGTTTTTTACCTGGTACATCCAGTATATTGTTAGATTAGATAGTACTTACCGAATTTACTAGTAAATTAATCAATTGTAATCCATTTAGAGTATAAAATCTTATTGTTTACCCCAGAATAAGTTTATTATTTTTGCTTCAGATGAATTAGGTATTGGAATTTATTATTAGTTTTTTTTTTTTTTCTTTTTTTTCATAATCCATGTATTAACAATTCATGTTTTCAGATGTATGTACAGTTTTTTCTCCAATATTATGCTTGGAACTGGTCAAAGATGAATATTTTTTTGAATTCATGTGGAATGATTTGAATCAAGGATTTCGTGATGGACTGTATTTAGATATTTTTGTCCATTGTCTAAATATTATATTAAAACTAGCCAGATATCCTGAAACTATTGACTATCTTTTACAGGTATTGTTTGTTAATTATAGCTCTTTATTTTTTATGTCATTTTTAATATTAATTAATATGAATATGTCTTTATTAAGGTTTACTTTTGAGTTTGGAAGCTATTTCAGATTAAAAGCCAATAAACTAGAAAATAGAAACTGTTTTTAACAGTTATAGGTCAAGTTATTGAATTTATATTCCATGAGTTTTTTATTTATTTTTAATTTTTCATTTAAAGATAGTTATACCCAATTTAATTCAATAAATATTTTATCATTCACGATTTTGGCATTAAGAAATTATTATTTGCCCAAAATGTGGCTATAGAATTATACCTGGTTATTGAAAAATATGGATTTTTTTCTATATTAGGGTCTGTTGTAATGTTTTTGAGGCACTCAATCCGGCAAGTGGGTGTATTGGTCAACCACAAATTTGAACCAAATCCTTTTTTTTTTTTTTTTTTTTTTATGATTCTACATCAAATGATATTAGCCACATATCCCAGAATTCGTTCCAATTTTTCGTTATGTAAGAAAAAAATTTCCCCCGAATCATGTATATTGTATTCCAGACAGGAATAATTCATGTATTGTAGATATTTTACAATATAAGCACCTCAGGGTCCCATTAAATTTGTATAAGGTAGAAATCAGGTTATTTTTTTTTATACAAATCAAACAAATAAATAGTTACTCTTTGCAGTAGTATAAGAGGGTATTAGTGGAACTTCTAAAAATAGTTTAAAACATTTTTCAATACGATTATAATATGTTTCTACTATAAGAGTGACTTTAGAAAGTTATTAAAAAAACAAACAACCGATGTAGAAAATTGTTGCAATTACAGAACAGGTTTAACTTTAACCATCGTTAAATCTAAAGTTGCTTTCCGGCACTTATACCCTATTGCCTCTAAGGTAATTATTAAAATTTAACAGTATAGAAAACCTAAACTTTAAGGTAAGAATTAGAAGTTAACCCTATTGCTTCCATGTACCTCTTATGTCAGCTACCATATTCAACATATATATAATATATCACTATTTTTAGTGCTAAAGGTGGCATTTTGTAGTCTGCTACTATGAAAACAGCAGAGATAGATAAAATATGAAATTATACAGATAAATCGTGAGGAAATAATCAGTGTTTATGATCTCCTGTGAAGTACATTAATAATAGCGATATATTCATTTATGGACATTTCCGATCCACAAACTCCAGATATAGATTTTACTGGAGGAATACTAAACCTCAGATTGCTTATATTTTTCCTTTAAATAACTTAATACAATATTAGATGCAATCTAATCGTTGACTTTTCTTATTCCTTCACTTTAAGAGCATGGATATGTTTGGTGGTTATACCATCTTAGTAACGTTGATGGGAAAGTTTATAGAGAAGAATACTGAAATATTTTGCAAAGCCGCATCTGTTATTTGGTTTCTCCTTCTAACTCGCCAAGATAAAAAGGTAAAACATTGTCTATTTTTTTTAATTATCATAAGATGAAAATGTTGTTCTGTCATTTCTTAATTTTACAGTTGAGGGACAGCTTTGATTTAGAAAGGTTGAAGTTTTACCATAAAAAAATTATGGCAAAGAAAAATTATCAAGTTGAAAAGCACAGATTTGTGCCACCGCTGAGGCCCGATTGGGGATACACCAACGAATCGGTGTCCTTCTTAAGCGTGAGGACAGCAATCGAGGAGCTGTTTGTTGTGATGTCATGACCTGTATATTACTATTTTTAATTTATAACTTGTACCTGGTAGAATTTTATTTTTGAAGATTTTATTGATGAGTAACGCATTGAATATTATAAAATAAAAAAGGATTAATTTTATTATACATACGCATGAAATATGAAATTATGATGATGAATTATTTTTATTAAACTTGATTTTTGTGATTGTTATAAATAAATCAGTAAATTATTATTATTAGTTTTTTAATATTTCCTTTTTTCTTTTAAACAAGTCTTGTCACCTTAAGAAGAAATTTGTAAATGATGCCGGATTAACTTGATATTACGGACAATTATGTTTTTAAGGCCAACGAACAAAAATATTTAATGAAGGAAGGAGATGGTCCGGAGTTGCGGTCATAAAAAGGCTAAATAGTGGTAAAACTATTTTATTGAAAGTCAACGTTTCGACCCGACTTTGCAGGTCTTCATCAGGGCTAGAACGGACAAGATACAAAAAGATAGAAAATTGTGGCAATTATATAATATTTAGACATAATTTATAAGCAATGTGAATAAGCTTATTAGAATTATAAACAGTAAGTACAATAAAATATGGACTAAGTAAGCTGAGTAACAAGATCCTAAAATAAAGTAAATAGATGCTAACAATTGTTTATGCTAACAAAAAATATATAACAAATGAAAATGTGAGTATAATTCTACAAAATCTACAGGAGATTTTATTGTACTTACTGTTTATAATTCTAATAAGCTTATTCACATTGTTTATAAATTATGTCTAAATATTATGTAATTGCCACAATTCTCTATCTTTTTGTATCTTGTCCATTCTAGCCCTGATGAAGACCTGCAAAGTCGGGTCGAAACGTTGGCTTTCAATAAAATAGTTTTACCACTATTTAGCCTTTTTATGACCGCAACCCCGGACCATCTCCTTCCTTTATAATGCAACGGTCAACTATTAAATATTCAAAAATATTTAATATTTAGAATCAATCTTAGGCCTCTTTCATACCAAAGATGCAAGTGCATCCTGCACCCTGGATGCAAGACACACTTGCCTCTTGAGAACCAGTGGGCTGGATATATCAGCATGCATCTTTGTTGTGCTGGACTTACATATTGGCCACGCCCAACTCGACCTGTCCCACAGTGGGACAAAAGGCGGGTTTTCGTGGACATGGGCCCTAGAACTTATAAGATGCCGGATTAACTTGATATTACGGGCAATTATGTTTTCAACACCAACGAACAAGAATATGATGTCAAAACTACAAAATTTCCATGAAAAACAGAAAATTCCAGTTTCTTTGTTTAAACCTGGGAATTTTTAAATCTGACAATAAATTAACTTTGAATATGAATATGACTTCTTGAAACGCAAAATTTCAGATGCCTATTTACAACTACTGTCTATATTATTACATATAATCGTTATTTTAATAGTAGATTGATGGTTGACTCGTGAATCATTAAAGAGAAGTTGGTTGGGGTGTTCAGTCGAAAAACAAAAACAAATTAAAAATAAATAAATATTTATTTTTATATTTGCCAACGTTTCTGACCAAAGTTTTGGGCTAAGAAAAGACAACATGAGAAACTATTAAGTTATAAAAAAAATAATAACAGTAACAGAGAGGAACTTATGAAATAAATAATAATGCTCTCTAATACTGTTATTATTTATTTTACAAGTTTCTCTCTGTTACTGTTAATAATTTTTTTTTTCCATATGTTCGTTACATTATTTTTTTTACTTTCACTTACCTATATATTTCATATATAGTCAGGATAAGTATTGTAATCGTGCAAATTTTCGAATCTGATTTTTCAACAGAAATACATGTTTTGAGGTTCCCTGAGTCAAAATAACTAAGTCCCGTAAAATGGTCTATGTTACCAGTCTAGCTAAAAAATGAAAAGTCATACAAAAGTGATATCGCATATTTCAAGTTTGTATATGCTTGGGATGATATAGCAACTTTTCCCTTAAAATCAGCTTACCGGAAGTGGCACTTTATATAATGGAGAAAACACATTTTTAAATAAAATGTAGGTTATATTCTGATTGATGTTCTCTAACAGGGCTTAAATGGCTAATTTTCAATATTAGCTTCCCCTAAAGTACTATCAATTTTTATTTATTCGAAACAATTGACCATTTCACATTCATCTCAAATATAAAATATGAAAGAATTTGATAATTAACTAAAGGCGAAATAAGAGCTCATTCAAAAGATTAGAACATGCTTCCATACATAACATGAGATGAGCTTAATATAATGACTCTGACAATATTATGTAATATATATATACTGTTTTCATAAATGCTTTTGTTGGTATATACTTGATTGTATAGATTACAGCGATATAAATATTAAAATTTTATATATATATATATATATATAATAAAATTAAATTATATAAAATAAAATTCGAGGCCATATTGCCAAAAATTAAAGTATAAGTAACATTGAAAAATTAACAAGGAGTGATTCTTTTTCTAGTTCAATTTATATTTTAACTGTATTTATAAAAAAATACAATATCTCATCAGCTCACTGACGGATTCAGGGAGAGGGCCTTATAGCAAGAAAAAAATTAATTTTTTTACTGACTCATACTTGCTTGTTTCTGAGTGATTTGAGCTAAACAAACTTTATCCATAATTGTTCCCGTAATTAAATTCTGTATTAGAGCTACTTCTGGCATATGATTATGAAAAATGGATATGAAGACAGATGGATCTATCTGAGACCCTTAAGAGTTAGAATAGGAGATGATCCCAGAAAATGGAAGACATACAGTAGAAGAATGGCACAGATGGTAGCTACTCCAAGAAAATACTTTTCTACCATTGAATCAAGCAACACCGAATACACATAACTGACATAGGCCCTTGTGGATTCTAATGAGAATTGTGGTTTTTAGGATTATTAATAATATTTATCAAGCTAGAATTAAAAAACTAGGCATTAAAATAGAGGTGATAACCATTTTATTTATATGGTAAGACCCAAGCCTTCACTGAAAAGGAAATTTTGGCTATTTTTCTCTGGAGTGAGCGATGTCGAACAGTCATGATCTAATCAAAGCAGTAAGGATTTTAATAACTACTAGTTTAATCTTTTTTTTTTTTTTTTGTATAAATAATGTATTATTTAAGAGAGAGAGAAATAATGTATTAAGTTGTGTATGATTTTTTAATGCTTTAATATAAATTTCCCTAAATACACTTTTGAATATTCTTTGAATTTTTAAAAATTTCATCTGTAGTGTTCTCATGTGTTTGTGTCTTATCAGTCATATTTTTGATTAGTACATATTTATTTATTAAGTCAGAACCTTAGCTATGGCAAAAGCTCAAATAAATAATGGTAAAACATGACTTTTTAACTTAATTTTTTTTTTTAAGATTAAACAAAAATTAAGTTAAAATTTTAATTTAGTTATGTTAAGGTTGCAATATAACTAGACATATTGGCTTAAAGTATGTATTTACATTTAACATTAACCAGTGCAGAAAAATAGACAATACTGAAAAGTTTTAAATTCCCTTAATGGACAATTGAAGGATGAAAAATATGTGAAATTTTGATGAAGATTCATGAATCTTTTACAATATATAACAGGTACATCAATATAACAATTAAACAAACAAGCAAATACATTGCTGTCATTATTTAAAACATCTCCTCAAGGCGGAGGCAACATAAAAATAAACCAAATGCAACAGGTTGGACTCTGCTTTTAATAACATTCACAATAATGAAAACCTATTTAAAAATAAAATTAAAATAACCATCATTATCAAATAATATGATAATATTTCAACGCAAATAATTTAAACTTTAACAGAGTCATACATATTTACAAGAGATGGTAATTATAACATCTATAAAATATTCTTGAGCTTCCCTACATATCCATAAAAATATAGTTTATTATAAAGGTTTCTTCATAATTATTGAGACATCCACAAAATCTGTGGACTCAAATGCAATTTACGGGTCCACTGTCTGCATTTTCATTTATTTATTTTTGTTGATTCAAAAACAATGCCTAGGAATAATCTAGAAGGAGAAGGACACTTAATAATATGGACCAGAAAAACAAAAAAAAAAATCTATTTTATAACAAAGGGACAAAAATATATTAAAAATTAAAGGTTAGAAGACATATGTGCCTAAAATATTTTTGAATTTTAAAACTATCAAATTGGTAACCAAATAAAAACTGCCTAAATAGTATAAAACTTGAATAAAAACCATTTTAATACTTCATGATTCATACATAAATCAAGTTGAGAAATAAATCAGTAAAAGATGAATTAATTATTGTTTTGTTAATTTAAAAATGAAAATATAAAAACCTTCTGGACAGCTGATGGTACGTTATACAAAACATTTAATTTGAATAAGAAATAATATTGAGAGCTACCTCTTACATATCAATAATTAAATTTTAAAAAATTAATGGGCAGAAACAAAACAGCTTGGCTGTGTTTATATAGCCAATTTAATTCTAATGGTATTGACGATAATTAAGGAATTAAGTTCAAAAAACAAATTTATACTTTTGTTTTTCCAACATTAAGCAAGAATGAAAAGAATTCAATAAGAGGAATAATAAAAGCAAGCTCAATTTTCAAACAGGTGTAATAAATAACTGTGCAGATTAGATATGGTGAAGCAATGTTTCGAACGGCCAACATAAATGTTTCCGAATTTAATTACATCTAGAAAAATTATTTATTGAAAACTGGTGGTACTTGAAAAACATATATTATGGATCAATTACATTGAAAATAAATGTTAATAAAATTATGACAAAGTATTGTCATCCAAGTATTGACTTTGTCAAATTTAATCATTCCTGGCAGTTAATACAAACAGTAAAATTAGAAGGACATGTAAAGTGGTAGTTAACATTAAATTCTTAAAGCAATTCTGGTTGTTCAAAAAATGTCCACCATTGACAATTACTTGAACTTCAGGGAGTAACAATTATTTCCATATATTATTAAGCGTAACACCCAAATTTAACATTTGAAGAGCATGGGACAAAAATAGTGTTTTGGGACTTTTCCCTTATTAAATAATTTCTTTAAAAATATAATGAAGTTTTAACGTGTGTAATTAGAAATAAGCACACAACTTCTTTTCATTTAAATACAATGTTTATAATATATCTATATATATATGTATAATATAGTCACTTATGCTATTACAATTTATAAAAAAAAAAAAAAACTTAAACAAGGAAAAGGGAAGAATAGGGAGTTATTAGACGGATTACTTTTGGTTTTTCTTTATCAAATAAATTAAACTATCAATTGCCTTTATCCCATAGCTCGCTCTCTCAAGTTCCTTCTCATTAGTATTAACTCAGTATCAAAACCATCTTCGATAATTTCAACCAGCATACCACATCATAAGTGTCCTGAAAACATGAATAATTATAATAAACTAATTTAAAAATAAAATTGTTCCAAATGAACATCTAATCTAAAATTTGTAATTTTAATTGTTAATGCAGGAGATCTTTAATAATTTGTAAGATCAATATCCATTACCTTGTGGTTCCGTGACAAAAACAATAACTTACACTGTTTTAAATATAATTTAACAATAATTAATTGAATTTTTCTACATCTGGAAATGAAATTTTTGTTATAGTAATCTACACAACATGTAATGGTCAAACTCAACAAATAAATTTAATTACAGTGAAATTAAATAAGACGGAATTGCCATGCTCTTGACATTCAAACCCAGAAATTATAAACAGAATGTTTAGTATCTTACACAATGATGTAACCCCTATACAGATATGGTCTACATAGTGAGACTTAAATATACCTATTAACTTATTTGCTCAATCAATCAAATTTATGTTTAGTTAACTAACTTGGTAGACACAGTAGCTCTAAATAAGAAGGCGAGAATCACGTCATGGAATAAAATATTTAAAAAGCTACATACGTCAAGTACTATATCAACTAAGTTCGGGTTTATAAAAGATAATTCAATTTTTTTTCTACAGACAGCTCAAGGAATCAAATATTTCAAAATTATACATTAAATTCATAATTTCAAATCATTTTACAGTTTACATTTATCAATTTTTACTTTCACTTACCTAAATATTTAATATTAGTAAGGTATTGCCCTTATCGTTGAAATCTGAGTTTTCAACGGAAATACACTTTTTGAGGTCCCCTGAGTCCAGGTAACAAAGTCCCACAAATGGTATCTGTGTTGTGTGTGTATGTATGTGAACAGCCTAGCTCAAAAACGATAAGTCGTACGAAAATGAAATTGCGTATTTGAGGTTTATATAAGCCTGATATGTTACAGGAACATTTTCATCAAAATAGGAAAACCGGAAGCAGTACTTTAACACATTTTTACGATTTTCTCAAAAACAGCTCAAACGATTTTGATTAAACTAAGTATATCAGTGTATTATTAAGTAATTTTAAATATAATGTAGGTTTTATTCCCATTGCTGCTCACTAACAGGGCTTAAATGGCTAATTTTCAATATTACCTTCCTCTAAAATACCTTAAATTTCTTTTATTTCAAATATTTAATTGTAAAGATTACGATATAAAAATCAAAATTTTTATATATAAGGGTAATTAAACAAATAAAAATGCCCAAAAAGAAATGTAAATAAATCTAGGATCTATAATTTTTACTTTCACCTCCCCTTTGTCTGAAAATACCTATTTCTACCACGAAGAGGGTGGTAGTGAAAGTAGTGTGATGCGTGAACCAGATTTTATATTCCTTCAAATGATGAGGAAGGCTAATTATTTGAAAAAAAAATTAAATATAAAAATTTAATGTTTCAATAGTTTTGTTTATACCTTTTGACTAAAATCAGTTTTTAAAAATTATATATATATATATTTATGTCCTCCCATTCCTCACCTTTTAGGCTAAACAGGGTTTTCCCATGCCAGAGATTAATACCACAGTTAAAAGCTCTTCTCTCTTCCCTCCCCAGCAAGCGAAATCTTAATTATTTTTATCTAATTAAGTTTGATCCAAGTTGTCAGGCAATGCGCAGTACTGTGCACATGCATTAGGCTGCTCGGCCAAGCCGCTCCCAGGTTTTTAACCACCAAAATTTTCTTTTCTTTCTAAATACCTACTCTACCATCATAATTACTTCCATTTTTTTTTTTTAACTTTTATTATGATATTTACAACTGTATTAGTATGAATACATCAAGTAAATGTGTACATAGGAATATTATCACATGAAACACACTTGTTGAGAAACCACCCATTGGTAGCACTCTAATACTTCCATATTAAAATTCTTTATTTAAAGTAACCACTAAGGTAATCCCTTTTTGCCATGAGTAAAGATGGTTAGTTATTTAAAATAAACAAAATTATTCGAAAACTCATTTAAATCCTACCAGGAATTGCCAAATTTAACAATATATCTAAAGACAAACAGTAAACAAATGTGTAAAAGCTGCACTAGGGCTAATCCAAACTTACTTTGCTCTCACTTAAAAACCGACAGCATATGGATTGGTCAAAAACAAAGAGACACAAATACAACCTTATACAAATATTTGGGTTTTTCATAATTTGTGAAATCTATAAAAACGGCTTATCAATTAGCTCTACCATTAGTCTGGATGAGTTTATATATTTTTCAATTACCAAAAAAATATTTTTAACTAGTAATATCTATCCAAGAAGAAGTGATTTAAATTGGAAAACATGGGATTAAAAAAAAATAATATTGAAATTGTAAGTCAGTTTTATTATTATTAATGAAAAATTATTATTATATTATATTTATAATTTTTGAGTGAACATTTTTTAACCACTGATTTTTCTTTTTTACTTAACCGAGCTCAAAAATAATATTCACCTTAAAAATGTTTATTTCTTCTTTTGCGGATTCCTCTGAGGTGTCGAAGGTCGGCCTGAGTTTAAGCCACCGTACTGGTATTTTGCTTTCTTTTCACTAGGTTTTAGGATCTGTAACAAAGCATAATTCTGATTTAGTGGAATTAAAATTGAATAGAATAAAAAAGTCCTTAAATAAACTTGACCTCTAATACATAAAACATGACAAAAATTTTCTTCAATATCTGCATGAAAAAAAAACTTTTTTATCTTCGGTAGTGAGGAAGACAAAAATACAGGGTATTTAAGCATAATAATTTAAAAGAAATTAGTAGATATTTTCCTGGATGCAGATAAATGCAATTTGTCTTCTTTTTATAGACCACACATCTTGGTGTCATTGTTTGAAGTTTTACTTTAAATAATTTCAACATGATTTAAGCAACTAAAAATAAAAACTTTATAAATTCTTACCTGGAAGGAGCACATAAGAGTTTCATCTACAGACATCATCCCTCCTGCATTGTCAAATTCACCACAGTAATTAGGTGCAGAAAATAAGGTGACAAGCTGCCTCTTAGCAAAGAACTCGTAACCATCTTCCACAACCTGAAATCATATATTCATACATGTTGATTTTAATTTCAAAACTTTCTTTAGTTTTATAGTTTTTACCTTTGTTATATAGATATATATTTTTATTTTTTATTTATTAATTTTTTTTATTGCATTGTATATATAGTATTAATGGGCCTCACTCAGCTTTAGTACTCAGTGCCCTTAAATGTGGCAAAATGTATTATTTCTCAATAAAAAGATTTAAAAAAAAAAAAAAAATCATAACATTAATAACTGTGACCAACTTTGAGATGATGAAAGGTTATGATTAACAAATATTAATAAACTGGTAGTACCATCAGACTTGATACATGCTTGGCCATTCATTTATAAAGTTTAGTTTGCTATTAAACACGTATCATACTCAAGCAAGCAAAAGTAACAAATTTCTTTTGTAAAATAATGAAAGAAACTCTTTTGACCAAACGAGCACTACAATGAACTCTGCTTATAGAATAACATAATTAAATTAAAATGTCATAATTATTTTGACTGTTGAGTACAGAATGTTTCAGGGTTAAGTAACCGCAGAATGGCCACCCACTTAACCCTGAAACACCCTGTATAATGGGTTATTTAATTAAATTTTGTTTTATAATAATGAAGTCATATTTCAAACCATCTTACATTTCTAGGAAAACATAAATTGTCATTTTTTAAGTTTATTAAAAAATGACTGTCCCTATCGCTGCAACAATATTCCTAGTTGGCATGTATACAGTTAACTCCTCAAAAGACATATTACAGATTTATACTCCATAGACCAGATAGTAAGTTAATCATTTACTCAAGAAACTATCCAACTTCTTCTCGCTTCCTGCTTTCTTCTAATTAAACAACTGACTACTAATAGCAATCAAACAATTTTTTAATATCAATACTCATTTATTTCTCATTATTAGTAGTAACCAATAATATTATTAAAACTAACAAATAAATATTATATATACCTGATGGGCTCGACAAATAAGATCTAAGTCGTGCCTTGACAAGAATTTACTAACAACATCAGCTCCAAAAGTGAACGATACACCACGATCATTTTCTCCCCAACCTTGCACGTCTTTGTCTGGGTCAGACCATAATAAGTCACATAAAAGACCTGCAGATTACAGAGAGAATTTTTAAAATGCAAAATTTTCACTAACAGATTATAGAAATAGCTAATAATTTAGCACAAATAAATAAGAAAATAGAATGCTGGCAACAAATTGAGAACTACAGCCATCCAAGTCCTACAAATATTTTAGATCATGATCCTAAAGTGTTAATTCGGAGATAAATGCTTTATTAACATATTATATAAACTTACCGGTGTCTGGAACATCAGTAGGTCGCATTATTCGTCTAATTTGTTCCATTCCTTGCAAATCTGGACTTAGACCTCCATGGCAACAAAATATTTTTTCATCAATAATGGCAGCGATAGGTAGACAGTTAAAACAATCAGTGAATGTTTTCCATAACTTTATGTTGTACCTCCTTTTACCTAAAATAAGTTAAACTAATGATTTATTTATATCAAACATATATGAAGAAAAATACATTAAAAATTATAGATATTACAATAACTCATTACCATTATATCTTAAGATAAATATACAATATTTTACAAATTTTCAATAATGAATGCATTGATCCGACTCACAAAGGATTTGAGTGTTTTGTTATTGTTATGGAAATTATTACATTTCTTTTTGACTATTTCAATTACAAATCACTTTTGTTATTAATACATTTGTTTTAGTCTATTTAATATATATGTTGTAAAATAAAAGTGTTTGTTTATTATTACATTTGTTTTTGTTTACAATTTTAATAATATGAATAAGAAGATAGAAATTATCACAGCCTCAACAGAATTATCAGCGTTAAGGTTATAAACATTGGCAGATAGCAGTCGGTTCCAACCGGTTATTTAAGGAGTACCAAAATTTTAAATAAAATTTTCTTATCTGATATTTTCCCAAATATTTGGAAAGTGCTACCAAGATTTATTCCGAAAAAGACAAGGATCGTTTAAATGTTAACAGTTATAGGCCTATCAATTTAAAATCTGCTATCTGTAAATAATTAGAGAAATTAATAAGTAATAGACTAGTATGGTATTAGAATCCTTAAGTGTACAGCCAGCATGGCAGAGCGAATTCAGGCGAGGGAGAACCACCAGAGACAATCTAATTAGTCTAGAAACTGATATTTTAAATGCATTTGAAAACAAAAGAAAATTATGAACTGTGTTTCTTGACATAGAAAATGTTTTCGATAGGACGTGGAAAAGACTTAAAATTTATATCCTGGCTAGGATTGGAATTAATGGTCATGTCTTTGCCTTTATGAATAATTTTTTTTATGGTTAGTTTTTATAAATAAAAGAACTTTAATGGTTAGAATTGGCAAATTCTTTCGCCATAAATTTGAACAAGAGAATAGAGAGAGATTTTCTGCATATGTTTCAATCAGGTATTCAATATAATTAAGTTGCCAATTTGAGTGATGCTTTATGCTGATAACCTTGTAATTTATACTGAGGGAAAATATGTAATCACCATACAAGATAACATACAAGCCGCTCTTAACAGTCAGTACCTGGCTTGCTGATCATGGTTTTAAAATTTCAACAATTAAGACAATTATCATTCTTTTAAGCAAAAGACAGCCAAACTTATTGCCATCACTAACTATAGACAATCGTCTAGTCACTTTTTCCAACACTGTCCGGTACAAAGGAATGACCTTTGATAGAACACTCAGCTTGGTTCACCATATTAAACAACTAAAGGCCTAACTGCCTCCGTTTCTTGAACCTTTTAAAAATAGTCAGTAACACCAGTTGGAGTGACGATCAGAAAAGTATATTAAACTTGTACAGAATGTTAATAAGATAGGAAAAATCGCAAAATTAGACAATGGTTGCAATGCACATAATTCAGCATCAAACAAAATAAAGTTCTTAAAATGCTTGACTCTGCACATAACTCAGGTCTGAGAATAGCTACTGGTGTGGTGCTTTCCGCTCCAGCCCTACTAATAGCCTATGTCAAAGCTGGCGAGCCTTCACTTGACATACGGAGACAGCAACTTGACCTAATTAACTCCGAATTTTACCGAAATGGGAACAAGTGTGGTCAGGTGCTACTGAAAATAAATTAAGCAAAATTAAAAGTGACATTTCCTCTTGGTCAACGTCGAACAGAAATAAACGCAGAGAGGAGGTGATCCTTACCTGCCGGCGTATAGGTCACACCCGCCTGATCCATAGATACCTGATGCCCCACGAATCTTCTCCAATATGTCAAACTTGTGGAACTTTTATCTCGACAACCCGAGGGTGGGTCTTGGCCTCCTCTAGGAGCTTCCTCCATCCAGCTCGATCCATTGCTGCTGCCTTCCAGTTCAGTGTTCCTAGTAGTATCCTGGATTCAGCCGCCACACTATCTATCCATCTTAGCCTGTGGAACTTCACTAACTATAAAATACGTTTTGACAGAATGCTGAGCACACGAACCAAATAGAATAGCTTGTGGCTTACCAAACGACCTACATATCATTTTACAAAACAACACGAATACAGTTGCAAACTATTTAATTTTCTAAAAAGTGTGAAAGTGGATAATGAAATTTAATACTTAACAAAATAAGGTGATAATGACCTGGGTGGTTGATGCCTTTAAATACATAAAAAAAAAAAGATCCTAAGTACGAATCCAGCAGATAACAAGCAATTTTTATCCGCCCTCCTGGAGCACACCCAGCCTCTTGTAAATTGGATACTCTTAATTAAATAATTAACTAAGGGAGAAGACCTGGCGGTTGAGCGTGATCTTGGCCTGATCACCTTCCTGCACAACCGTTGGCCTTGTGACAGTACTTTCTCACATAGTACTGAACCAAAGACCCTTCATGGGTACTAGTGGTACAGGTTTATTTTGGTAAAAAAAACCTTTATATATAAAAAAATCCTGTTTCATTATAAATATAAAATATAGAATATACTGTTTGTTAATAAAATATATATAGAACAGTTTACTAAAAAAAAAAATAACTTACATTCATCATAAAATCCATATATTCTGTTAATGGATGCACATTCATGGTTTCCACGAAGAAGGAAAAAATTTTCAGGATACTTGATTTTATAAGCAAGAAGAAGGCATATGGTTTCAAGGGATTGTTTTCCACGATCAACATAATCACCCAAGAACAGATAGTTTGCTTCAGGTGGAAAACCACCATATTCAAATAGCCTAAGAAGATCCGTATACTGTCCATGTATATCGCCTGCAATGAAAATTATATAAGATTATTGTATTGAGATGGATATATAGCTGACTGTTGAAATTGTAAGAATGAAAAATAGTCAGGACGTGTAGTCAAAAAATTATGTTTATCGAGTTTGCTGACATTTCCACTCCATCTGGATCACTATCAGAACTAAAAATTAAAACATACAAATTTCTGATGTAATTTATTATTTATTACTATTTAGCCCTTATGATGTTTGGGTTGGAACATCAGAAAACTCAATAAACATAATTTCTTTACAGCACTCATCTTGACCATTTTTCATCCTGATGATTATTATAGTTTCACTTTTAAAATTTACTTCAGCAACAATGATATTATTTTTAATCAGGACAGTAAGAGTAACATTAATTATTCTATACATTTATAACATTAGATTTATAGAACTCATCAATTGTCAATATAGAATTTTGACAATAACTAGGTCAATTTAAAATGATAAGTTTTGTCTCTAAACCATAAGAAAAAGGCCTTGCCAACTTTGTTTCCTGCAATTTCCTTGAAATGGAATCCAACATAACATGACTAATTATCCATTGTGCATTGTTGGCGTTTCACGTGTTTATATCTTTATAAACATAATGATATGTTGTACATTGGAATAATGAGAGTAAACATACATCCCACACCCAGAAAGAAAGAGAAATATACAATAGATATAGTCGTACTGCAAGAAATCTGATGGAGAGACACAGAGCTCAACAAGATGAAGCAGTTAATAATAGTGGCAATAGACAAAACATTATGGGCATAAGTTTTGTTGTAAGAAACTTCCTCCTAAACTCCGTTATCAAATACATAAAAGTGAACAAAAAAATATGTGTATTGTAAGGAAAGTTTTTCAACACTTCCCTTATTATCAACCATGGACCTATAGAAGGTAAAGACAATGAAAAGGAAAAGGATACATTCAATGGAATGTTAGAAAAGATGCAGGATTTCAAAATAGTAAACATAATGGTAATCCTAAGCATGATGTCAAAATAGTCCTTATTCTCAGGATATTAATAGTAAAATAGGAAAATATAGTAGATAATTACAGCAAACATGAGGAAACAACCGAGAATGGACTAAGAGATTTTGCAAAGGCAAGGTATTTGATGATTTTTCCCCGCATCTTGTTTGGCGTTTAGTAATCTTAAAATAATCAGATTGTAATCAACAAAAAAGTGTATACTTTTTGAGTTATTCGAAAATAAAGTTTCTTTTTCTTCCTGAAATTTTGGAGGAATGACTATTTTACTTAATGTTAAGTCCTCCTCTCTCGGTTATAGGGACCTTAAGTCAACATGAGATACTCTAGCAGTCATCTTAAGTCAACATGTATCCTCTAGCAGCACAAAAATTAACATGTGATTAGTAGTTCCGAATTTTGCCCTTTTCATTATCTTGAAAATGGTATATTTATGAGCTTGAAAACTCAGGGCCTGATAGTTCTAAAGGAACTAATCAGGTCATAATGTCTGCATCAAAATCTTGAAATACCTAATCTGTTCCGTATCGATCCACCGACTTATCCCCATCCCAGTATTGGAGAATGGAGGAATGTTTATATCTACTTTATTTATTTTAGAAATAAAAAACAAAAGTGGGGAGTATAATTCACTAGGCACCTTTGAAATTCTGAATACAACAGTACACCATTTATGACATTTGATGATAGGAGTGTATATTTGGTAAAAAAGCAATTTCGAGCCTTAGTGTTAAAGAATATAAGTTTATTTTCATTATATCAAATAAATTAGCTTTGTTATTTTTTTATTATAGTTATATTGCTTAATGATTCAAAAACAGGGGCAGAGATTGTAGTCAATCATAAACAAATAAATTGTGTCTATTTGGATATTTATAACCAATGAAGAAAAGAACATAGTGAAGATTACAGCAAAGTATAGCTAAAAATCCCAAAATAATGAATAATGGAAGTTATCAATAAGAAAAAATATTCCATAATATATTAATTAAAAGTTTTTTTCTATTAGTTTTGTTTTTCCAAACCAATAATTCATGTATAAGTTCCATTAGAGGCATATGATCTAACCTAAACATCATGGTTCCGTCGGTTCTGCTTTGTTAAAGGTACCCGACTACTTAAATAGCAGCTATTTAAGCTGCATTCAACAAAATAAAGAAATCAGTCACCTCTATACTCTTATCGGATAAAGCTATGTAATTTTGGCATTCTCTGAACAAGTGATTTAGAACCACGCCTAATTCATGCACAGCACATACATAGTAGCTAAAAATTAGATAATTATGCAATAAAAAATCTTTAATTTCAGAAGGTCTTAACAAAGACCGTTATGATCATTAAAAATAAAAGTCGAGGTATGTCAGTTAACATATAAGGCATTAATTGTAAAACCCTAAAAAAACAATAATCAAATCAGTAACAAGGAATCAAAATAAGGGCATTTCAAACTGTCTTTTAGTCATTTACATTATATAGTAACAATATATACTATGGTAAAGAATGATAACTACAAAACATAACTTACCGCAAATCTTGAGAGGTGCTTCCAGTTCTAACAAAATTGGTTGTTGTAAAAATATTTCTCTGGACTTCAAACAAAGTCCACGAACCTCGGACTCTGTCATAGCGACTATTTTTCCTGGTCGACATCCTCGAACTGTGATAAAGTAATATGTTAAATATGGTATCAGTAATGAAGTTGATAAAATCAAGAGCATGTAATAGTGACAGAATGTACTGCAACAACCAAGCTTAAAAGATGAACGAGACATATAATCATGCTTAAAATAAACTAAGCTGAGTTATTAGCAGACTAATGCTTTCATAAAAGCATTAGAAAATATGCAACCAAGAGACTATCACACCGATACAGGTTCAGACATTTAACGCAGGGAAAACATATGAACACAAGAATATAATAGTAAAACTCTAATATTACTAAACCGACATTAAATTAAGCTTATAAATGATTTAATACCTTCAAGAAGCCTGTGAATCAGGTTGTCAATGTTTAACTCGACGTCAGCCATTTTCACTGTGTATATGACGTCATGAGGGTCATGTGACGCCGCTTGAGAAGTTTTGACAGTTTTACCATTCTTAAAAAAGCAAGTAATAATTGTTCAACCAATGATTTGCTTAAAGCAAGAGTTTTATTTAATTAAATCATAACCATAATTTTTTTAAAATATATAACTTATGATAAAGTACCTTTTGCTAAAGCGAACCGCCTAATTTTTAAAAATTATACATTATTATATTTTTTTAAAAATCTGTCAACTATAAACTGATTCCTGCTGCGTTTATATATTATAAATATACTGTTTATTACAGTTCTATTTCTGTTAGATTAAAATTAAGTTTCGAAACCAACAATAATTAGCACAACATAATATCTTAAATGTTTAGATCTATTTCATTTAATTGATTGCCATAAAAAAAAAAATGAAGATTACGAAAAATTTTACACTTCCTATTTTTAATTAGTCACTAAATTAATAACAACAAAAAAAGTTAAGAACTATTTTAATGAGTATCCATAGAAATTAAACCTTTCCTTTTTTTTTAAATGACACTGAGTTCAGCACATGTTTAGTATATAATTATAGAGTGATCATAAGCAAAAACATATAATCTCAGTTGTTAGTTGATATTTCAGCAGAATTTGTGTATATTCTTGAAAATCTAATGAAATATTACAATTGAAATACATGAGCACATTTCATTAATTTGATAAATTGTTATTACAGATTTCTAACTGTTTCAAGCAAGGGCGCCGGCACTTTGGAAACATGAGGAGAGGGGGGGGAGCAAATTATTGCAGCTTAATAATTGTTCAAATCATGAGTGCTGAGAAGATTAAACATCGCGTAAAAAGGTGTAGTTCTGCCATCCGACAACATGTAATAAAATATAACTATTACATAGACAGTTTATTCAACATGTATTGAGTTATTTTTAAATAAATGCGAGGATGCCCATCCCTCTCTCTCCTCCCAAGGTCGATGGTGCATGAACCTCCACTCCCCTCACCAAGATATTTATTACTCTCTTCTTCTTAAAAAAAATTAGAAATAAAATTACCGTAAATTATACACAATCACACTTTTTTTTGTTTGGGTCCTCCCCTTCCTCGCCGTTAAGGCTATACGGGGTTTTTCCGGGCCAGAGGGTGTGGGCGGGGATTTAAAAGACGCCTTGGCACCGGGACGCGAACTCGTAACTATTTTTATATCATTAGTCTTATATCAGGTTGCCGGGCAACGGTGGTACTGTGCATACGCGTTAGCCCATTCGGCCACCCCGCCCACGTATACACAATCACACTTGCTAAGGTTTGTTTCATGTATTTTCTCTGCCTCTTTGTTTAAAACTATCCAATCCAAAAATTTACAACTCTATCGAAATATGTCCCCCTCCCAAAAAAAAAAATTGTGATGGCGCAACTTGTGCCATGAAACCGTCTTGTAGGCACCCTGAGTAAATGAGAGCTAAATATTGGATGGGCTTGGTCACCCTTCATAAAATATGGAGGGAGCCACATAGTGCCTCGTTCGGCCTCCGCTGGTGATGGTGCTATTAATTTCAGGTTTATTTCATTCCCAAAACGCGTTTTTGGAAGACCATGCTTGTGGTAAACTTCTAATTGAAGTATAAGAAATACTGCAGCATCATTTGAGATCAGAACATTTTCTAAATAAGTTATTCAAACGAGTTATTTAGGACCCAGTTTTTGTTTTATCATTGTGTCTTTATGTTAGATACCGGGCCGAAACTATGATTTTTGCCAGGAGGAGCAAGCTTAATTTTGCCGCTCCTTTCACTTCCATTGAAAAAAAATCTAAAAATTTAAATTTTGTAATACTTTGAGGAGTAAAATTATATATATTGACAAATTAACAACTACTGACTTCACAATTTGTCGGATCTGTGAAGCCTCTAAAGGATGCTTTGTTTATTCTACAAAGAAAGATCCTGGTAACGAATTTTTTTATACAAAATAATATTTCTAGTGCTTTGAAAATAGATTAATAGTGATTTGGATGTTCTCACATATAATTACTCCATAACAAACTGATTAAGTCTTAATAAAAAATATTAAAAAACTTTTGTACCATTAACACCCTTTTAAACGGGAAGATCGAACATGGATCAGAATAGAAATTGACCTTTGTGAAATAAGAAGATTCAACCGAATAAAGTTTAAGTGAAGGAAAATTAATATATACTTTGTCTTTGGGCTTATTGTCAGTAAAAATTGGTCTAGTCAGGCATCTTTGAAGTGCTTGGATTTGGGAAACCTGATAACCGAGGTTAGATGGAAAAATATTACGAGTTCAAATCCCGGTACCCGATGTTAATTTTAACTTGGCATAATAGTCCGTGGTACAGACTCCTTTTTATCAAATTATTAACATCAGCCTGAAACTTCGCAAATAGCTTCATCTCATCGTGACCTACAAACATTTTATTTGCGAAAATTCTTGGAATTGGGGCGTTTTCAATCTGGAGGTCGGTAAACTTTGTCTATTTAATTAGGTACTAAAAACTCCTTAATACTTATTTTCTTTCCACTTTAATCGTGAGATAACTTGAGCACAAAATCGAGAAAAAAGGTGGCCTTAAAAAATATTGGCCTATATAACCTCCTTATTTTTTTAATTTGGGCGTGTAAGTCACGCTGAACGGTTCAATATTTTTTAAGGACACATTTTTTCTCGACTTTGTGCTCAAATTATTTTACGATTCAAGTGGAAAGAAAATGAGTAATTACAAGTTTTTATTACCTAATTAAATAGACAAAGGTTACCAATCTCCAGATTGAAAACGTCCCAATTCCGAGAATTTTTGTAAATACGTTATTTTTAGTTTACGATGAGATGAATCTATTTACGAAGTTTCAGGCAGATGTTAATAATTTGATCAAAAGAAGTCTGTACCACGGACTATAATACCTCCGCCCTCTCTCCCGGACCGGGAAAACCCCGTGTAGCCTGTAAGGCAATAAAGGAGAGAACAAAAAAAAAATTAAATATTAAATTTTGGATTTAATATTTTTTTTTCTTTAGAATGTTGAGCAGTTCTATGCATAGTACTCAAAATTATATTCTCTTTATAATTACTTGTCGCATTAGGCGAAGATAACGAATATAATAAATTCTTCCTGCAAACAATAAAGTGGAGATAATTCTAAACTTTTTTTTTTTTTTTTTATTAGACATATAATATTCTGTCACAGGGACAATAATTATGTTGATAAATGAACACATTCACACCGTATATACAAAAAAGAAATAAAATTAACAAAAGTAAAATAATAATAAATAAAAACTATATACAATAAAAAAAATAAAATAACCTAAATATAAGTAAACTAAAAACATAAAAATACAGTCATACCTATGTACAATACATACAATCAGGCGGGGAACCCAAATCCCTGCGCTACTCTCTCAACCGCCACACCGGTGCTAAAGCCGGTGGAGTTTGAGCGAGAGCGCTTTAGCCACATACACTCATGTCTTGAGTGGAGAATCTGGCCATTGCCAGAACTCCAAAATAAATACTATAAAAGATCTTTGGGCCACTGCCGCTTCAACCTTCGAGGAGGGTTGTAAGGATGAGTCGAACTAGATAGGGATTGGGCTAGGGGATTTGTATGATTGATAAGGTTCTGATGGAATTTTGAAAATTTTTCAGGGATAAGGTCAAGGACAAATGGGATATTAAGGTCATGATGTAGGGTTTTGTTGGTTACATAGAACGGAGCATCGACTATTATTCGGAGGACTTTGGATTGAAAGGATTGGATGCGTTTGATGTTAGAAACTTTTGCTGTCCCCCCAAAGTTCAAGTCCGTAGGTCCAAATGTGTTTCAGTATTGTCTTGTAGATCAGTAATTTGTTGTCAATTGAAAGTTGAGATTTTCTCGTCAGAAGTCTGTATAATTGGCCGTATCGTCGGTTAAGTTCTTGTCTTTTAAGTCTAGTATGTGGGTTCCACGTAGTCTCGGTCTAATAAGCCAGATACCGGACTGTGTCTGAAAAAGGAAGCTGGATGGAATTAAAGAGGACTGATGGACAGGATCTGCGGCGGATTGTGAAGGTAATGCGTTCGCATTTGGATTCGTTTACTTTGATGAGCCATTTATTACACCAGTGCTCAATCATGATCAATAATTCTAAACTAATGTTGAATTATTGCTGCCTTTGAAAAGAAAAAAAAATTACTTAGGGTTCAATTATCACCAACACTCACTATCTACAGAAATGTGTATATACATATGAACAGGAGTAGTATTTTCGAACATATTAAATTATTAAGGAAGGAGATGATCCGGGGTTGCGGTCATAAAAAGGCTAAATAGTGGTAAAACTATTTTATTGAAAGCCAACGTTTCGACCCGACTTTGCAGGTCTCCGTTTCACCATAGAGAAAGAAGATAACAATTCGCTCCCCTTCTTAGACCTCCTAATAATGAAAAACATTGACGGTTCTGTCTCTACTGACTGGTACACTAAACCCACATACTCAGGCAGACTACTCAACTATTACTCCCAACACCCATATCACCAAAAAATCAATACCGCCAATAACCTTATTCACCGATCCCTCTCCTTATCCGATCCACAATACCATCAAGCCAACACTCAACGTGTCAAAAATATACTGCTCTCTAACAATTTTCCTCTGAACACCATACATAAACTTTTAAATTGCTATACAACCAAAAACAATACAGCCTCCCATTCTCCCAACTCCCCACAATCATCTACCACTCCTTTCATATACAAATCTCACCCCTATATCCCTATCCTCTCAGACAATATACAAAAATTCCTAAAATCGACTATAACCAACTTACGCCTTGGCCTTAAGTCCCATAACAAACTTTCTTCCCTTTTCACCAACTTGAAGGATCCCATACTCTTACAACACCGATCCAATGTAGTTTACCGGATACCTTGCTACACTCCTAATTGCAATAGCTCCTATATTGGTGAAACCAAAAACTATCTCAAAACCCGCATTTCCCAACATAAAAC